AACTGAACTAACTGAACTAGAACTGAACTAGAACTGAACTAGAACTGAACTAGAACTGAACTAGAACTGAACTAGAACTGAACTAGAACTGAACTAGAACTGAACTAGAACTGAACTAGAACTGAACTAGAACTGAACTAGAACTGAACTAGAACTGAACTAGAACTGAACTAGAACTGAACTAGAACTGAACTAGAACTGAACTGAACTGAACTAGAACTGAACTAGAACTGAACTAGAACTGAACTAGAACTAGAACTGAACTGAACTAGAACTGAACTAGAACTGAACTAGAACTGAACTAGAACTGAACTAGAACTGAACTGAACTGAACTAGAACTGAACTAGAACTGAACTAGAACTGAACTAGAACTGAACTAGAACTGAACTAGAACTGAACTAGAACTGAACTAGAACTGAACTAGAACTGAACTAGAACTGAACTAGAACTGAACTAGAACTGAACTAGAACTGAACTAGAACTGAACTAGAACTGAACTAGAACTGAACTAGAACTGAACTAGAACTGAACTAGAACTGAACTAGAACTGAACTAGAACTGAACTAGAACTGAACTAGAACTGAACTAGAACTGAACTAGAACTGAACTAGAACTGAACTAGAACTGAACTAGAACTGAACTAGAACTGAACTAGAACTGACTAGAACTGAACTAGAACTGAACTAGAACTGAACTAGAACTGAACTAGAACTGAACTAGAACTGAACTAGAACTGAACTAGAACTGACTAGAACTGAACTAGAACTGAACTAGAACTGACTAGAACTGAACTAGAACTGAACTAGAACTGAACTAGAACTGAACTGAACTGAACTAGAACTGAACTAGAACTGAACTAGAACTGAACTAGAACTGAACTAGAAACTGAACTAGAACTGAACTAGAACTGAACTAGAACTGAACTAGAACTGAACTAGAACTGAACTAGAACTGAACTAGAACTGAACTAGAACTGAACTAGAACTGAACTAGAACTGAACTAAACTGAACTAGAACTGAACTAGAACTGAACTAGAACTGAACTAGAACTGAACTAGAACTGAACTAGAACTGAACTAGAACTGAACTAGAACTGAACTAGAACTGAACTAGAACTGAACTAGAACTGAACTAGAACTGAACTAGAACTGAACTAGAACTGAACTAGAACTGAACTAGAACTAGAACTGAACTAGAACTGAACTAGAACTGAACTAGAACTGAACTAGAACTGAACTAGAACTGAACTAGAACTGAACTAGAACTGAACTTGAACTGAACTAGAACTGAACTAGAACTGAACTTGAACTGAACTAGAACTGAACTAGAACTGAACTAGAACTGAACTAGAACTGAACTAGAACTGAACTAGAACTGAACTAGAACTGAACTAGAACTGAACTAGAACTGAACTAACTGAACTAGAACTGAACTAGAACTGAACTAGAACTGAACTAGAACTGAACTAGAACTGAACTAGAACTGAACTAGAACTGAACTAGAACTGAACTAGAACTGAACTAGAACTGAACTAGAACTGAACTAGAACTGAACTAGAACTGAACTAGACTGAACTAGAACTGAACTAGAACTGAACTAGAACTGAACTAGAACTGAACTAGAACTGAACTAGAACTGAACTAGAACTGAACTAGAACTGAACTAGAACTGAACTAGAACTGAACTAGAACTGAACTAGAACTGAACTAGAACTGAACTAGAACTGAACTAGAACTGAACTAGAACTGACTAGAACTGAACTAGAACTGAACTAGAACTGAACTAGAACTGAACTAGAACTGAACTAGAACTGAACTAGAAACTGAACTAGAACTGAACTAGAACTGAACTAGAACTGAACTAGAACTGAACTAGAACTGAACTAGACTGAACTAGAACTGACTAGAACTGAACTAGAACTGAACTAGAACTGAACTAGAACGAACTAGAACTGAACTAGAACTGAACTAGAACTGACTAGAACTGAACTAGAACTGAACTAGAACTGAACTAGAACTGAACTAGAACTGAACTAGAACTGACTAGAACTGAACTAGAACTGAACTAGAACTAGAACTGAACTAGAACTGAACTAAACTAGAACTGAACTAGAACTGACTAGAACTGAACTAGAACTGAACTAGAACTGAACTAGAACTGACTAGAACTGAACTAGAACTGAACTAGAACTGACTAGAACTGAACTAGAACTGAACTAGAACTGAACAAGAACTGAACTAGAATTGAACTAGTATTCAGCTAGAATTGAAAAGTGGTTAACCTTCCCCCTTAACATTCTGTACTTTTTTGGCATAAACGTCTAATCTCCTTCATGTTCTATCCAAAACCGTTTGATTGAACGAAAAGTATTTATCTTTCGAATTCATGATTATATGAATCAATGAAAACACTTCCTAGTTTGATTAAAAAATAATTGCATCTAATCTAAACTAATGGCAGCAATTGTAAATAATAAATTATGTTTGAAAATTAAAAAAAAACAAAAACAACAATTTTAGAAAGTCTATGCCACAAATTTGTTTCTCAAATGTTTGCTACTGCAATTAAGCCAAGTCATATGTATGTAGACGGACTTGATATTCAGACATTTAATTTTAAAATCAATGTTAAGTTTTATGAAAACTAAAACTCATCTTTTTCTAAAATAATGATTCTGTTAGTCCAATAACATTAATATCTATTTTTATTTATTAATATACAAAAAAAAAAACAACAACAAAAACACTGGTTGTCATTATGTTTACCCTGAAAATTAAACGGAAACTAATGAAAATTATTAAGCTGGCAATGTGTGTTGTGAGTAAATATTATTACAAACAGTTAAGATTCCAAATCAAATGTAAATCTTACTAATTAGACCTAAATAATACTATAAAAAGTGTTAATTGATTTTGATTAAAAAAAATGAAAATTTAAATTTAACTTGCCACATACAGGTGGCATCAATCACATGTATAAATTAAATCACTTAAAGTGTATTATGCAGACGAACCTGTTAACAAAAAAACATAAATAATTTTTAATGTAAACATCAAAATTAGTAGGTACTATATACTAGAATTTAAAAGTTTAGAATTTTAGATTTTAGTATGAGAATTTTTTCGTTTGACAATATTTAAAATTCATAAAGCATCATAATTATAATTAACAAGTTAGAAGCCTTTTGTTAATATGTACAAATAATCAATATACTAAAAATATTTCGAAATCATTTCTCCAAATTAATGTTTCTGAAACAATCATTAGATTAGTAGGTCAGCTTCAATATCTGTTCTATTTAAGTTCGAGTTGAGTTTCAGTTCTGTTCTGGTTCTGTTCTGGTTCTGTTCTGGTTCTGTTCTAGTTCTGTTCTAGTTCTGTTCTAGTTCTGTTCTAGTTCTGTTCTAGTTCTGTTTCTAGTCTGTTCTAGTTCTGTTCTAGTTCTGTTCTAGTTCTGTTCTAGTTCTGTTCTAGTTCTGTTCTAGTTCTGTTCTAGTTCTGTTCTAGTTCTGTTCTAGTTATGTTCTAGTTTATGTTCTAGTTCTGTTCTAGTTCTGTTCTAGTTCTGTTATAGTTCTGTTCTAGTTCTGTTCTAGTTCTGTTCTAGTTCTGTTCTAGTTCTGTTCTAGTTCTGTTCTAGTTCTGTTCTAGTTCTGTTCTAGTTCTGTTCTAGTTCTGTTCTAGTTTGTTCTAGTTCTGTTCTAGTTTGTCTAGTTCTGTTCTAGTTCTGTTCTAGTTCTGTTCTAGTTCTGTTCTAGTTCTGTTCTAGTTCTGTTCTAGTTCTGTTCTAGTTCTGTTCTAGTTCTGTTCTAGTTCTGTTCTAGTTCTGTTCTAGTTCTGTTCTAGTTCTGTTCTAGTTCTGTTCTAGTTCTGTTCTGTTCTATCTGTTCTAGTTCTGTTCTAGTTCTAGTTCTGTTCTAGTTCTGTTCTAGTTCTCTTCTAGTTCTGTTCTAGTTCTGTTCTAGTTCTGTTCTAGTTCTGTTCTAGTTCTGTTCTAGTTCTGTTCTAGTTCTGTTCTAGTTCTGTTCTAGTTCTGTTCTAGTTCTGTTCTAGTTCTGTTCTAGTTCTGTTCTAGTTCTGTCTAGTTCTGTTCTAGTTCTGTTCTAGTTCTGTTCTAGTTCTGTTCTAGTTTCTGTTCTAGTTCTGTTCTAGTTCTGTTCTAGTTCTGTTCTAGTTCTGTTCTAGTTCTGTTCTAGTTCTGTTCTAGTTCTGTTCTAGTTCTGTTCTAGTTTCTGTTCTAGTTCTGTTCTAGTTCTGTTCTAGTTTTGTTCTAGTTCTGTTCTAGTTCTGTTCTAGTTATGTTCTAGTTCTGTTCTAGTTCTGTTCTAGTTCTGTTCTAGTTCTGTTCTAGTTCTGTTCTAGTTCTGTTCTAGTTCTGTTCTAGTTCTGTTCTAGTTCTGTTCTAGTTCTGTTCTAGTTCTGTTCTAGTTCTGTTCTAGTTCTGTTCTAGTTCTGTTCTAGTTCTGTTCTAGTTCTGTTCTAGTTCTGTTCTAGTTCTGTTCTAGTTCTGTTCTAGTTCTGTTCTAGTTCTGTTCTAGTTCTGTTCTAGTTCTGTCTAGTTCTGTTCTAGTTCTGTCCTTCTTTCTAGTTCTGTCCTAGTTCTGTTCTAGTTCTATTCTTGTTCTGTTTTAATTCTGTTCTTTTCTATTCTTTCGATCCAATTCGGAAATTTTAAAACATTTTGAAGAATAAACTAAATGCATTATATTTTGGTGCTTTAAGCTTTAATAAATTATGTTATAAGCTGTGCGATATTCTCAAAAAAAAGATAATTTCTTTAAAGTTCCTTAATTGCTTTTCGTGTAGTTTAAAAATACTAGATGCTTAAACTCGTTAGCCCATCCTGCGAAAAGTAATAAATTATTCCTTCATGGCCGAGAGTAATGCATTGAATGAAAATGCAGTTTTTACAATCTTAAAAAAAGGAAAAATTTTGAAGAATTTCTTGGTGTTAATACATACATATAAACTTACATAAACCAACAAATTACGATCCACTTCAAAAAAACAAACCCCTCAATACTGACAACCTTTGCGAACGCATCAAGGGTAACAGCATTAGTTTCTTTTGTTGAGCAGACATTTTATGCCAAGGAAAATACAAATAAAAATCCGAACTCAACATTAAGCTCTAAAATTAAATATTATTTTATAAAAATTATATAATATAATATTCTTTTGAATAGCCACACACCTCATTCTTAATTTTCTCACCACCAAAACAATAAATCATTAATTGCATCACAACCGCTACCAGAACCATAAAATTAAATGGCATATTGGAGACATCGTCATCATTATTGAGCGTATAGAGGACAAAACACATTTGCAAACAACTCAGCATAACCTCAGCCCATAAAATTTCACCAAAAATGTTATTCAAACCTTGAGTAAAATCTAATGTTTTATTATGATAATAAACGATTGTACCTAAGTCACGGGTAAAATTTTCATTATCATTATCTTTTAGCTTTAAAGCAACACTTTCCACTTTACATCTTAATATGCGAAAATGGGCCGATATATTGTATATATACCAGCCATAGAGAGTATCAATGCCCACAGTCATATTGAGCAAAGCATAGATATAGATCAAGGATAAAATATAGTTAAGAGCGAACATAATAAAGCCACCCTGATCAAAAGGAAATCTTTTAAAAATCAAAAACATTAGTTTTATTTTATTAAAAATATTATATTTCATACTAACTTGCCACCAAAGGGTAGTTTCTTATTAAAACCTCCATTTTGTTTATAGTCATAAATCATGAATGTTATAGGTACTATGCCAGCGCAACCCACCGCTACCCAACAGGCATAAAAGTACATTTTTCCAATTAACTGAGACCTTTGATTTTCAGACAGCCATTTTTTGTACTCCTCCGAATTGGCTTAAAATATATATATATATATATATATATATATATATATATATATATATATATATATATATATATATAAAAATTACTACTCAAACGACTTCTTTAACTGCACTCACCTCTCATCGCCAATAGATTCATATCCCAAATTAATTTCATAAATTTACCTCCCTTAGCCAAGAACACCGATATTTTAATTAATATCAAACAGCCCTGATTGAACATGGATAAAGCCCCGGTGGCTTTATCTATGTTAGAAACACTTTGAGTCGCAAAACTAATTAAACCATATTCCAAATAAATTGTACAACCAATTAGTAAGAAAAATTTTCTATAATCCTTCAATAATTTGCTCCTTTTAAGATTATTAATATCGATACCCATTTTTAATAAAGTAAAATGTTGGGTTGTTAGATATTCCAAGTTCTGTTTAGCCTTTTCGAAAGACATTTCCTTTGACAACGAAGGTTACTTAGCATTTGGTAAAACTAAACGTTTTGTTCAAAAATATATAGTTTGTTTTTGGACAATTAAGTTTAAGGAATTGCGAAAATTGTAATTACATATTACGTTTGTGAATACATTATTAATTAAACTGCACCCTACAGAAATGTAAAAAAGGGATATTAAGTTCTTTCCAATTGTGGGCTGCTCTACTTCAGTTAAGTTCTAGTTCAGTTCTTGTTCAGTTCTAGTTCAGTTCTAGTTCAGTTCTAGTTCAGTTCTAGTTCAGTTCTAGTTCAGTTCTAGTTCAGTTCTAGTTCAGTTCTAGTTCAGTTCTAGTTCAGTTCTAGTTCAGTTCTAGTTCAGTTCTAGTTCAGTTCTAGTTCAGTTCTAGTTCAGTTCTAGTTCAGTTCTAGTTCAGTTCTAGTTCAGTTCCATTTTTTGTGTGAAAACATAAAAGTCCATTTTCTGGCTAAACTAGAAGAGCTAGGGCTAAAACAATGAAAATCTGTGATCACTTAAATTTCTTACTAAAATTCCATTTTTTGAGTGAAAACTTAAAAGTCCATTTTCTGGCTAATCTAGAAGTGCTAGGACCAAAACAATGAAAATCTGTGATCACTTAAATTTCCTACCAAAATTCCATTTTTTGAGTGAAAACATAAAAGTCCATTTTCTGGCTAATCTAGAAGAGCTAGGACCAAAACAATGAAAATCTGTGATCACTTAAATTTCCTACCAAAATTCCATTTTTTGAGTGAAAACATAAAAGTCCATTTTCTGGCTAAACTAGAAGAGCTAGGGCCAAAACAATGAAAATCTGTGATCACTTAAATTTCTAACTAAAATTCCATTTTTTGAGTGAAAACTTAAAAGTCCATTTTCTGGCTAATCTAGAAGAGCTAGGACCAAAACAATGAAAATCTGTGATCACTTAAATTTCCTACCAAAATTCCATTTTTTGAGTGAAAACATAAAAAAAAGTCCATTTTCTGGCTAAACTAGAAGATTTCCTACCAAAATTCCATTTTTTGACTGAAAACATAAAAGTCCATTTTCTTGCTAAACTAGAAGATTTCCTACCAAAATACCATTTTTTTAGTGAAAACATAAAAGTCCATTTTCTGGCTAAACTAGAAGAGCTAGGGCCAAAACAATGAAAATCTGTGATCACTTAAATTTCTTACTAAAATTCCATTTTTTGGGCGAAAACTTAAAAGTCCATTTTCTGGCTAAACTAGAAGATTTCCTACCAAAATTCCATTTTTTGAGTGAAAACATAAAAGTCCATTTTCTGGCTAAACTAGAAGATTTCCTACCAAAATACCATTTTTTTAGTGAAAACATAAAAGTCCATTTTCTGGCTAAACTAGAAGAGCTAGGGCCAAAACAATGAAAATCTCTGATCACTTTTATTTTGTATGAAAATTCCATTTTTTGAGTGAAAACATAAAAGTCCATTTTCTGGCTAAACTAGAAGAGCTAGGGCCAAAATAATGAAAATCTGTGATCACTTAAATTTCCTACCAAAATTCCATCTTTTTGAGTGAAAACATAAAAATCCATTTTCTGGCTAAACTAGAAGAGCTACGGCCTAAATAATGAAAATCTGTGATTACTTATATATTGTACCAAAATTCCATATTTTGAGTGAAAACATAAAAGTCCATTTTCTTATTAAACTAGAAGAGCTAGGGCCAAAACAATGAAAATCTGTGATCACTTAAATTTCTTACTAAAATTCCATTTTTTGAGTGAAAACATAAAAGTTCATTTTCTGGCTAAACTAGAAGAGCTAGGGCCTAAATCATGAAAATCTGTGATCGCTCATATTTTGCACTAAAATTCCATTTTTTAGTGAAAACATAAAAGTCCATTTTCTGGCTAAACTAGAAGAGCTAGGGCCAAAGCAATGAAAATCTTAAATTTCTTACTAAAATTCCATTTTTTGAGTGAAAACATAAAAGTCCATTTTCTGGCTAAACTAGAAGAGCTAGGGCCAAAACAATGAAAATCTGTGATCACTTATATTTTGTACCAAAATTCCAAAACAATGAAAATCTGTGATCATTTTTATTTCCTACCGAAATTCCATTTTTTGAGTGAGAACATAAAAGTCCATTTTCTGGCTAAACTAGAAGAGCTAGGGCTAAAACAATGAAAATCTGTGATCACTTAAATTTCCTACCAAAAATCCATTTCTTGAGTGAAAACATAAAAGTCCATTTTCTGGCTAAACTAGAAGAGCTATGACCAAAACAATGAAAATCTGTGCACTTTATTTCCTACCAAAATTCCATTTTTGAGTGAAAACATAAAAGTCCATTTTCTGGCTAAACTAGAAGAGCTAGGGCCAAAACAATGAAAATCTGTGATCATTTATATTTCCTACCAAAATTCCATTTTTTGAGTGAAAACATAAAAATCCATTTTCTGGCTAAACTAGAAGAGCTAGGGCTAAAACAATGAAAATCTGTGATCACTTATATTTTGTACCAAAATTCCATTTTGTGTGAAAACATAAAAGTCCATTTTCTGGCTAAACTAGAAGAGCTAGGGCCAAAACAATGAAAATCTGTAATCACTTATATTTTGTACCAAAATTCCATTTTGTGTGAAAACATAAAAGCCCATTTTCTGGCTAAACTAGAAGAGCTAGGGCCAAAACAATGAAAATCTGTGATCACTTAAATTTTGTACCAAAATTCCATTTTTAGAGTGAAAACATAAAAGTCCATTTTCTGACAAAACTAGAAGAGCTAGGGCTAAAACAATGAAAATCTGTGATCACTTATATTTTGTACCAAAATTCCATTTTTTGAGTGAAAATATAAAAGTCCATTTTCTGGCTAAACTAGAAGAGCTAGGGCCAAAACAATGAAAATCTGTGATCACTTATATTTTGTACCAAAATTCCATTTTTTGAGTGAAAATATAAAAGTCCATTTTCTGGCTAAACTAGAAGAGCTAGGGCCAAAACAATGAAAATCTGTGATCACTTAAATTTTGTACCAAAATTCCATTTTTTGAGTGAAAATTTAAAAGTCCATTTTCTGGCTAAACCAGAAGAGCTAGGTCTTAAACAATGAAAATCTGTGATCAATTATATTTTGTACCAAAAATCCTAAACTAGAAGAGCTAGGGGCAAAACAATAAAAATCTGTGATCACTTATATATTGGATCAAAATTTAATTTTTTGAGTGAAAACATAAAAGTCCATTTTAGACCACATAAACAAAAATTTTGTTTGTGTCCATGAATTTGGAGAACACTTCTTTCTATACTGTAATATTCCAAATTAATCATTTAAACCTTGTAAAGAGTCACAATTTTTTTTGTGAAATTATAGTGGGTTGTATATTTTCATTTAGCAGTATTTTATTGCGAATTTAATTATAGGCTTTCATTAAGAAAATATGCAAAATTGTTATTCAGCCATAAACAAATTGTTAATTGTTATTCACTAAAAATAGCAGCTTAAAATAATTGAAATAAAACAAATTATTAACCAAAAAAACATGAATGGGCTATAAATTTACAAAAACAAAATCAAACATTATAATAATTTAAAACAGGAAAATTATAAACAAAATTTAATTGGAAAGCATTAACTTTTTAAAACTTTACGAATATATCGTCATTGACAGTGAGTGACAAGAACACACTTGACCACATCTTTCTATTAAAAGATATTTTACTCTAAATGCCGTGTATTAAATATAATTGGTCCACATTAGCTTCCATTATAAATTACATACCAGATTATTAAATTTCATTTATGCAGTTTCCTTCTGTGGACCAATAAACTGGATAGTGAAGATATTGCTTGTCATATGAATACATTGTTCAAGATTTAAGTCATAGATATTTTATATACATAAAATGTTTTTATCATTCTTCTGTAACCACTGATTTGAACATTATACAAAAATGCGGAAGTCTTTTTGCGAGTGGCAAAGAAGTTGGCAAAAAGAACTTGACCATGAAGGAGTTGCCCAGTAAATAAATTAGTTTGAGATAAAATTATATTTTGCACTCTCATGTTCCGGATCTAAAAGTCAATTGGTGAACTCAGTACTTAATAAAAGTCTAAAACAACTAACTAGAATTGAAGTGAACTAGAACTGAAGTGAACTAGAAGTGAACTAGAAATGAACTAGAACTGAACTAGAACTGAAGTGAACTAGAAGTGAACTAGAAATGAACTAGAACTGAACTAGAACTGAACTAGAACTGAACTAGAACTGAACTAGAACTGAACTAGAACTGAACTAGAACTGAACTAGAACTGAACTAGAACTGAACTAGAACTGAACTAGAACTGAACTAGAACTGAACTAGAACTGAACTAGAACTGAACTAGAACTGAACTAGAACTGAACTAGAACTGAACTAGAACTGAACTAGAACTGAACTAGAACTGAACAAGAACTGAACTAGCACTAAACTAGAACTGAACTAGAACTGAACTAGAACTGAACTAGAACTGAACTAGAACTGAACTAGAACTGAACTAGAACTGAACTAGAACTGAACTAGAACTGAACTAGAACTGAACTAGAACTGAACTAGAACTGAACTAGAACTGAACTAGAACTGAACTAGAACTGAACTAGAACTGAACTAGAACTAAACTAGAACTGAACTAGAACTGAACTAGAACTGAACTAGAACTGAACTAGAACTGAACTAGAACTGAACTAGAACTGAACTAGAACTGAACTAGAACTGAACTAGAACTTAACTAGAACTGAACTAGAACTGAACTAAAACTGAACAGAACTGAACTAGCACTAAACTAGAACTGAACTAGAACTGAACTAGAACTGAACTAGAACTGAACTAGAACTGAACTAGAACTGAACTAGAACTGAACTAGAACTGAACTAGAACTGAACTAGAACTGAACTAACTGAACTAGAACTGAACTAGAACTGAACTAGAACTGAACTAGAACTGAACTAGAACTGAACTAGAACTGACTAGAACTGAACTAGAACTGAACTAGAACTGAACTAGAACTGAACTAGAACTGAACTAGAACTAGAACTGAACTAGAACTGAACTAGAACTGAACTGAACTGAACTAGAACTGAACTAGAACTGAACTAGAACTGAACTAGAACTGAACTAGAACTGAACTAGAACTGAACTAGAACTGAACTAGAACTGAACTAGAACTGAACTAGAACTGAACTAGAACTGAACTAGAACTGAACTAGAACTGAACTAGAACTGAACTATAAACTGAACTAGAACTGAACTAGAACTGAACTAGAACTGAACTAGAACTGAACTAGAACTGAACTAGAACTGACTAGAACTGAACTAGCACTGAACTAGAACTGAACTAGAACTGAACTAGAACTGAACTAGAACTGAACTAGAACTGAACTAGAACTGAACTAGAACTGAACTAGAACTGAACTAGACTGAACTAGAACTGAACTAGAACTGACTAGAACTGACTAGAACTGAACTAAACTGAACTAGAACTGAACTAGAACTGAACTAGAACTGAACTAGAACTGAACTAGAACGAACTAGAACTGAACTAGAACTGAACTAGAACTGAACTAGAACTGAACTGAACTGCAACTAGAACTGAGACTAGAACTGGAACTAGAACTGAACTAGAACTGAACTAGAACTGAACAGAACTGAACTAGAACTGAACTAGAACTGAACTAGAACTGAACTGAACTAGAACTGAACTAGAACTGAACTAGAACTGAACTAGAACTGAACTAGAACTGAACTAGAACTGAACTAGAACTGAACTAGAACTGAACTAGAACTGAACTAGAACTGAACTAGAACTGAACTAGAACTGAACTAGAACTGAACTAGAACTGAACTAGAACTGAACTAGAACTGAACTAGAACTGAACTAGAACTGAAGTAGAACTGAACTAGAACTGAACTAGAACTGAACTAAACTGAACTAGAACTGAACTAGAACTGAACTAGAACTGAACTAGAACTGAACTAGAACTGAACTAGAACTGAACTAGAACTGAACTAGAACTGAACTAGAACTGAACTAGAACTGAACTAGAACTGAACTAGAACTGAACTAGAACTGAACTAGAACTGAACTAGAACTGAACTAGAACTGAACTAGAACTGAACTAGAACTGAACTAGAACTGAACTAGAACTGAACTAGAACTGAACTAGAACTGAACTAGAACTGAACTAGAACTGAACTAGAACTGAACTAGAATGAACTAGAACTGAACTAGAACTGAACTAGAACTGAACTAGAACTGAACTAGAACTGAACTAGAACTGAACTAGAACTGAACTAGAACTGAACTAGAACTGAACTAGAACTGAACTAGAACTGAACTAGAACTGAACTAGAACTGAACTAAACTGAACTAGAACTGAACTAGAACTGAACTAAAACTGAACTAGAACTGAACTAAACTGAACTAGAACTGAACTAGAACTGAACTAGAACTGAACTAGAACTGAACTAGAACTGAACTAGAACTGAACTAGAACTGAACTAGAACTGAACTAGAACTGAACTAGAACTGAACTAGAACTGAACTAGAACTGAACTAGAACTGAACTAGAACTGAACTAGAACTGAACTAGAACTGAACTAGAACTGAACTAGAACTGAACTAGAACTGAACTAGAACTGAACTAGAACTGAACTAGATGCGATCAAGGACTGAATTGAAATTTTATTGTAAAATTACTCATTGGGTTGTCAAACTACTTTGGGTGCCTCAAACCGGTATCAGAACAGCAAACTTAAAGAACAAACAAATTTCAAAACTCCTTCTCCTGTTGCAACATTAACTCCAGCCAAAAACCTGTCTTCAATTAGATGTTATGTAATCATTGAGTGTACACTCAGCTAAAAAACGAAAAAAAAAAAATGAAGATGACACCTAACATAGAATAGAACCAAGAACAGGTCTTGTTCAAAAATGCTTTCAAGCCAAAAATCGATTGCCAACAAATAGTTTCATAACTTCAAGACTAATCAAGGCTCAAACAAGAAATCATTGCATAACCAAACGTTCAACGTAAAGGTTCTCTGCTCATAAAGAAACTTTTCTTAGTAACTCCTTCGAAAAAAATGTGTAAATTTACCAATCGTTTATTTGTATTCGCCTTAAGTTGTTTACTGAGCCTACAAATGGTTTGTGTCTGGGCTAAACCTATACACAGTTCTTCACGTGATGATGCTGAAGATTTGGGGACTTTAATAGCTTTATCGACCTTAATGAATTCTCAAGATGTTCATTATGATCAGAGGCAAAAGGGTGATGAAAATTATCGCATTAAATTGGATGGTTTCTTTATTGGTTTACCTCAAGAAGATAGTTCTACTTTACTGCTGCTTACGGATGATTTATTTGAGAGTATCGGTAAGTTAAAATCAATTAATAAAAGAATACAATTTTAAATAATATGTACTTTACATCTCATAAAGATGATGATTATCTTTCAGCTTTGGGTAAAAATAAACCAGCAGCTAAGGGAGCACCAACATCTTCAGCCGCCTCCTCATCATTAGCAAGCTCTGCTGCAGCAGATAGTTCTCCTGCAGCCTCTGAAAATAATCTCAATCTTTCTTCCAACAATGCTTTAAACCCCTCGAATAATTTGCCGGAAATTCCTGCACCCAAAAAATATCTAGAAGCTAGACATGGTTTGAATTCGGGCTCTAGAACTAAGTCTTATATAGCACAATTCTTAAAGTTACTTAAAAGGGTACGCAAACATTAAGTTAAGAATTGAAGTTCTATAAATCGGACAAAATCATTTATCATTATCAACCACCAGATTTTTTTAATAAATTAATATTAAATGTATTTTCTTTATAAAGAAATTCGGAGTAATAAAGACTGTTAAATTAAGTTATAAAACTACATACATTGTTTTAAGAGAAAAATTAAAATTGTATTAAGTTAGAAGTAGAGATTTTTTAAATAAATAAAATGTTTAAAACTTAAACTCAAGTTGTTTCGAAATTTAACATTTTGCAATGAGAGTTTTGCCTGTTACATAATTGAACTAGAACTGATGTAGAACTGAACTAGAACTGAATTAGAACTGAACTAGAACTGAACTAGAACTGAACTAAAACTGAACTAGAACTGAACTAGAACTGAACTAGAACTGAACTAGAAATGAACTAGAACTGAACTAGAGCTGAACTAGAACTGAACTAGAACTGAACTAGAACTGAACTAGAACTGAACTAGAACTGAACTAGAACTGAACTAGAACTGAACTAGAACTGTACTAGAACTGAACTAGAACAGAACTAGAACTAGAAACTGAACTAGAATTGAACTGGAACTGAACTGGAACTGAACTAGAACTAAACTAGAACTGAACTGGAACTGAACTAGAACTGAACTAGAACAGAACTAGAACTGAACTAGAACTGAACTAGAACTGAACTAGAACTGAACTAGAACTGAACTAGAACTGAAACTAGAACTGAAACTAGAACTGAACTAGAACTGAACTAGAACTGAACTAGAACTGAACTAGAACTGAACTAGAACTGAACTAGAACTGAACTAGAACTGAACTAGAACTGAACTAGAACTGAACTAGAACTGAACTAGAACTGAACTAGAACTGAACTAGAACTGAACTAGAACTGAACTAGAACTGAACTAGAACTGAACTAGAACTGAACTAGAACTGAACTAGAACTGAACTAGAACTGAACTAGAACTGAACTAGAACTGAACTAGAACTGAACTAGAACTGAACTAGAAACTGAACTAGAACTGAACTAGAACTGAACTAGAAACTAGAATTGAACTAGAACTGAACTAGAACTGAACTAGAACTGAACTAGAACTGAACTAGAACTGAACTAGAACTGAACTAGAACTGAACTAGAACTGAACTAGAACTGTACTAGTTTATACTCCAATTTTTACTTTAATCATCAATCTTCTTAAAATTCTAGTTTTGCATCGATAGCAGAAGTTTGGATACTCCCATTTTAGCTACGATTGTGATTTTTGCATCGATCGTCGATCTCTTTGTGCTTCAGTTTTAAATTCCAGAATAACGTGATATAGTTCCTTTTGAAACCTTCAGATTTTTATTAAAACATTTTGTATTTATCTTTAAAATTTTTAAATATTTATTATCATACTTTTAATTTGTTTATTTTTTTATAATTAATTTGCATTTAAATTTTTAAGTTTTATAATATTTTCTTTTTAAATTTAATCTTATAAACATCAAAATTCTATTATTATCATATTCATAATTTGTTTATTTTAACTATTGATTTTCATGAGTGTTGTATAATGTCTTTTTGTTCTTTTGTTTTTGGTTTAATATTAATTAATTACAAAAAATATATGTTTTAAATATTTTGTTTAATATTTATTATGTAATTTAATATTTCTTTTAAGTTAAGTTATTGTTTTAGTAATTTATTAATTTCTTATTTTAATTAAGATAATATTTTTATTACATATTTTGTTGTGTTTTTTCAATAAATTGACATTTTCTAAAACAAGCAATTAATTAAAATTGTAAAACAAAACTAAATTTGGCAAATTGCTAAACTAATTTAAAAACTAAATTGGTTAAAAACTTTTAATATTGTTGACTTTGTTGCAAATATTTGGTAGCAAAATATATTTAATATTTGTTTTTGTGTGTGCGTGTGTTGCTGAGAGTGTGGTGTACGTTTTATGTTTGTGTTAATTATTGCTTAAACTTATAATTATTATTAACTTTTTTTTAAACTTATTTTAATGTTTTATAAAAAAAAAAACTACACAAAATACAAACTGAGGTTCAAATGGTTATGGAAAGGTTATTGTTGATTAAAAGAGGAACCAAATAGAAAATAGTTTGTGAGGATTTAAAGAAAAAAAACATAAATTTTAATTAATTAACAAAAAAAAAATACTGTGTAAAGTTAAACCAGAAAAATGTTGCCAGATTATAAGAAGCTAAAGTTAAAATCAAAGATCGTTTTACAACCGATCGCTGCACTATTTATACTCCAAGTTTAGCTGCGATCATAGATCATTTTGTTATAAATATAGATCATTTTGTTATAAAATTGTTGCTTGATAGTGGATCTCTTTAGGAATTTTACACTTAAACTTTAGATCATTTTGTGCTCCAGTTTTACATTCGATAGTGGATCTTTATTTTAGCTTCGATCGTCGATCTTTAATTAGCTTTAATTGTAGATCCGTTTGTACTGCAGTTTTAGTTTCGATCTTGAGTCTTTTAATACTTTTTAAGTTAACAGCGATCGAAGATCTTTTTATACTTCAATATTAGTTTCGATTGTAGATCTTTTTATACTTCGATCGTAGATCTTTTTATACGCAAATTTATTCCTTAATCGTCGCACTTGTGTTATCTTGTTCCTGCATCTATTTATACATAAATTTTAGTTTCGATTGTTGTCCATTTTATACTCCCGCTTTGGGGTCGATCATCAAGTATGTTTAGCTTCAATCGTCGATCTTTTTATTATACTCTAATTTCAGCCTCGATCGTCGATAATTTTATACTTCAATGTTGGCTATGATCGTACTTTTATTTGTACTCTAATTTAAGCATTGATCGTGGTTTGTTGAAACTTTAATTTTTGAGTTAATCGATCGATATTTTTATCTTCCGATTTTTGCTTTTTGATCGTAGATCTTTTTATACTAGTTTTAGTTTCGATCTTAGTTTTATTTATGCTTCAAATATTGCTTCGATCTTTGCACTTTTTGCTTTATCGTCGATCTCTTTATACCCTAATTTTAGCCATGATCGTCGATAATTTTATACTTTAATGCTCACACTTTTATTTATACTCCAATTAGCATCGATCGTGAATTATTCTATACTTCCATTTCAGCTTCGATTGTCGATCTTTGTCAAATATTGCTAAGATCGTAGATATTTTTGTATTGCAATTTCAGCTTCTTATCGAAATCTTTTTATACTCAAATGACCGCTATGATCGTAACCTTATTTATACTCCAATTTTAGCTTTGCTCATAGATTATTACATATTTCTATTTTGGCATCGATTAACGATCTTTTTATATTTCAATTTTAGCTTCGATCGTAGATCTTTCTATACTCCTATTTTGGCTTCGATCGTAGATATTCTTATACTCCAGTATTGGCTACGATCTTCGTTTTATGTATTCTTCAAATTACTTTGATCGTCCGTCTTTTTTTTTGCAATTTCAGCTTCTATCCGAGATCTTTCTATATTCAGATTTTAGCTACGATCGTCGATCTTTTTATATTCAAATCTTAGCTATGATCGTGCAACTTTAGCTTCGATCGCAGATCTTTCTCTTCTCCTGTATTTTAAAACACAATTTTGGCTTCAATCTTAGTTTTATATATAGTGAAAATGTTGCTTTGATCGTCGGTCTTTTTGTATTGCAATTTCAGCCACTATCCGAGATCTTTCTAAACTCAAATTATAGCAATGATCATCGATCTTTATATATTCAAATGTTGACTATGATTGTACTGTTAGTTATACTATAAATTTAGCTTTGATTTTAGATTACTTTATCTTCTATTTTAGCTACGATCGTAGATCTTTTACTCCGATCGCCAATTCTTTAATAATTCAATTTAAGCTTTTATCGTAGATCATTCTATTCTTCTATTTTGGCTTCGATAGTAGAACTTTTAATACTCAAATTTTATCTCCGATCTTGGTTTTATTTAAACTTTAAATATTTCTTCGATCGTAGATCTTTTAGCTTCCACCAGATCATCGATCTTTTTATACTCCAATATTAGCTCCGATCATCGATCGTTTTATACTCCAATTTAAGCTTCGATCGTAGAGCTTTCTACACAGCTTTTTAAGCATCGATCAATGATCTCTTTTTACCAAAATTTAACTTCATTTGTAGATCTTTTTTATAGTTAAATTTAAACGACGTTCTTTCTGTACACTTGAGTCGTCTAGAAATCGAAGACATCTTCTTAAACAAATTTCATGAATTTAGTATAAATATATTACAAAATTAATTATTTAAAAATAAAAATAAAAAAAAAAAACAAAATTTATTAAAAATAAATAAAAAATAATACAAATAATACAAATAATAAAAAAATAAGTAAAATATTCGAGTATGTTTTACATTTAAGGAAAAAATATTTAAAAAAAATATATAAACATACAAAAACATATACAAGAAAAAGCTTTAAAAATAAAAATAAAATATAAAAGAAATAATTACAAAAACAGACAAAACTTATTCTAAATTTTATAAAAAAAAATACAAATTTCACAATAATTGATCTTATTTAGTTCACTTTGTTCGATCAAATCGTAACCTGACTATTTCTTTTTTAAGCTTAAAAACAAACTATAAACTAACTTTAACTAAAATATAATAAAAGCTTAAGCCATAATCTCAAAATTTACAGCCTCCATAATAAATAAATTAATACATACTTAAAAAAAAACTAAAACTTTGTGCAAAAGAAAAATAAAAACCTGAAAATATTTATAATATAAACACAATTTGTTTTTTTGTTTAAACTTAAATAACTAAATATATTATTCCAATTTTTTAGCTGTTTCTTCTTTAGAAGAAGTAGAAGACAATGCGGTTGCAGTTGATGAGGTGATGTTGGTAATTAAAGGAGTATTTGAATTTGTTGTTGTTGCTACATTATCACCATTTACTTTGAGGGAGGAGGAGGGGTTGGTTGTTTTCTTCGTTTGTTTTACGCATATGAACACTAAAGCAAATACGATTAAAATGTTCACACATTTGATTTACCACCTGTGAACCATAATGCCAATGACTCAATGTTGTGACAATGAATAAAAAGTATAACATAAAACGTTCTAAACTGGGCAGCCATAGGCCCATAGCAATACAGATAACATAAATGGGGGTCATCCAATGGAAACTTTCACAACGTGTATTGGACATTTGAGAAACGATTAAACGGCACTGAAAAGAAAACGAAGATAATTAGATATGATTCAAAAATATATAAACAACTAAAGTTTGAAATTGTAAAGAACTGAAATAGAATGAAACTTAAAGAAAACTCAAGAAAAATTCACGATATTCTAGTTTAGTTCTAGTTCAGTTCTAGTTCTTTCTAGTTCTGTTCTAGTTCTGTTTCTAGTTCTGTTCTAGTTCTGTTCTAGTTCTGTTCTAGTTCTGTTCTAGTCTGTTCTAGTTCTGTTCTAGTTCTGTTCTAGTTCTGTTCTAGTTCTGTTCTAGTTCTGTTCTAGTTCTGTTCTAGTTCTGTTCTAGTTCTGTTCTGTTCTAGTTCTGTTCTAGTTCTGTTCTAGTTCTGTTCTAGTTCAGTTCTAGTTCAGTTCTAGTTCAGTTCTAGTTCTGTTCTAGTTCTGTTCTAGTTCTGTTCTAGTTCTGTTCTAGTTCTGTTCTCTGTTCTGTTATGTTCTGTTCTAGTTCTGTTCTAGTTCTGTTCTAGTTCTGTTCTAGTTCTGTTCTAGTTCTGTTCTAGTTCTGTTCTAGTTCTGTTCTAGCTGTTCTAGTTCTGTTCTAGTTCTGTTCTAGTTCTGTTCTAGTTCTGTTCTAGTTCTGTTCTAGTTCTGTTCTAGTTCTGTTCTAGTTCTGTCCTAGTTCTGTTCTAGTTCTGTTCTAGTTCTGTTCTAGTTTGTTCTAGTTCTGTTCTAGTTCTGTTCTAGTTCTAGTTCTTTCTAGTTCTGTTCTAGTTCTGTTCTAGTTCTGTTCTAGTTCTGTTCTAGTTCTGTTATAGTTCTGTTCTAGTTCTGTTCTAGTTCTGTTCTAGTTCTGTTCTAGTTCTGTTCTAGTTCTGTTCTAGTTCTGTTCTAGTTCGTTCTAGTTCTGTTCTAGTTCTGTTCTAGTTCTGTTCTAGTTCTGTTCTAGTTCTGTTCTAGTTCTGTTCTAGTTCTGTTCTAGTTCTGTTCTAGTTCTGTTCTAGTTCTGTTCTAGTTCTGTTCTAGTTCTGTTCTAGTTCTGTTCTAGTTCTGTTCTAGTTCTGTTCTAGTTCTGTTCTAGTTCTGTTCTAGTTCTGTTCTAGTTCTGTTCTAGTTTGTTCTAGTTCTGTTCTAGTTCTGTTCTAGTCTGTTCTAGTTCTGTTCTAGTTCTAGTTCTAGTTCTGTTCTAGTTCTGTTCTAGTTTGTTCTCAGTTTGTTCTAGTTCTGTTCTAGTTCTGTTCTAGTTCTGTTCTAGTTCTGTTCTAGTTCTGTTAGTTCTGTTCTAGTTTTTCAGTTCGTTTAGTTCTAGTTCTAGTTTCTGTTTCTAGTAGTTCTTAGTTCTAGTTCTGTCTAGTTCGTTCTAGTTGTTCAGTTTGTTTGTCTAGTTCTAGTGTTCTAGTTCTGTTCTAGTTCTGTTCTGCTGTTTAGTTCTGTTCTAGTTCTGTTCTGTTCTGTTCTAGTTCGTTGTCTGTTATTTCTAGTTCTGTTAGTCTTGTTCTAGTTTCGTTCTGTTCTTTCTGTTCTAGTTCTGTTCTAGTTATGTTCTAGTTTCTGTTCAGTTGTTCTAGTATGTTCTTTTCTAGTTCTGTTCTAGTTCTGTTCTTTCTAGTTCTTTCTAGTTCTTTTCTATTCTGTTCTAGTTCAATGTTAGTGAAATTGAAAGCTCACAGTGGAATCAGTTTGCTGTTAAAAAAAGTAAAATTTATTTTCCTTAAACACAAGTAGTAACCTTCCTCTAGCAAACGACCATTATCAATAAAATTATAAGATATATTCATATTCAATCTTTATAGCTATAACTGGCCATAAAAGTCTACCTTAATTACCCACTTATAAATCATTGAAATTATATGCTAATAACATTTTTTAAAAGAAACATTGTTAGTTTGAAAAAGCAATTCCAAATCAACAATAAAGTCGCCTATTTCAAAAAATTTAACAACAAAAACCATTAATAACAATAGCAATAATGAATCACTATTAGTGGCCTATAACGCAGCCAGCTTATCAGTAAAGCCAACAAAATATTAAGTGATTTTATTTAGAATAAGTGTGAGCAGTTGTTATATTTTTATTTTTGCACTTAAGGTGAAAAACCGCAAATACCCATTAAAACAAAAACGTAATACTTTTATACAAAAAACACTGATAAGGAATTTAGAAATGAAATAAAAATAAAAAGACAATTCATAATTAATAATTAGCAAAAAATTAGTGGCAAATAATTAGATTATTAAAGAACATAATGAAAAATAGCAAAAAGAGAGAACTTACACTGATGTTTGAGAAAATAGTGCCACTCAACATAAATAGGACGCGGGGATCTTTCTCCATGATATTGTTAGGGGAAATATGGGGCCACAGTAACAGTAAACTCATGTAAGTTAAAAATGGCCACATGGGACGTATGGCCTCTTTAAAACTGCGCATTTTGCCAGTACGTTGAGCATAAGAGCTATAAAACAATAACAAGGATTAAAAGGATTTAATTCGGAATTTATTAAATAAATTACTTACTTATAAATATTTACAACCACCATGGGCATATTAGCCATGGCACTTATATGCAGCACAAACTCGATGGCACTGCCCAATGCAATGCCAAACGGCAGCTCACGCTTCCAGAATTCAAAGCCAAACCACCATGTGATCAGGTACATAGCTGTCGAGCCCCACATGCTCAAATCATAACCCCAGGGTAAATACAATACACCCGTATTATATTTCTCCCAATGCGATACATAGAAATTGAAGAAGACCATCAGGCAGACATAATACATACGCATGGGTGCCACCGAATACATTGCGGAACGACCAAATATACTATACAAACATGTGGGTATCAAGACAGCTGTATACGAATCTAATCCATGATCAAATAGTTCACCCAGAGGTCCCGATAAGCCTATACGTCTCGCCTGTTTACCATCAATGCCGTCTAATGTATAGGCCAGGAAAATGTTGATGGCTGTACATAGCCAAACCCAAGAGGGTATGGGTGTTGTGCCTTCTAGACCAGAACTGGCAAAGAAATTCCAATCATAATAGGAAAGCAGAAAGAAGTTCATAGCGGTACAGAGAAAACCCAAAAATGTCATGACATTTGGTGCCAACCATCGTGGAAAGAACTGGAGTATAGAAAAAAAGGCAAATTAATTATGTTATTTTTTGCATAAATTTATATTTTCGTGTTAAAGGAAAATAAAATATTGATTTTCTTTTGTTTTTCGTCTCTCTTTTGGTTTAGGCGGTCTTGTTTAAGTCAAGCTATGCTTTTAAACTATACGGAAAACTGAAAAATAGTAATAAATCCTTAAGCAAACTATTATTAAAGAATGCACAGTGGGATAAGAATTATTTTTCTTTTATAAAATAAGTAGATTGTTAGTGAATAATTGGGATTTTCAGGTATTTTTAATAAATTTTTACTTATTTCAATGAAAATTTATTTTTTTTTTTATAAAAACGAAATATTGAATTTTTAGTGAAAATTTGTATTTTTATTGAAAAATGTAACTTTTAGTAAAAATTTTCATTTTTAGTAAAAATTTTCATTTTTAGTGAAAATTTGGATTTTCAGTGAGAAAATAAATTTTTAAGTGAAAAATTGGATTTTTAGCAAAAATTGTTTTTTTGGTGAAAAATTAAATTTTTTGTTAAAAAAGGATTTTTAGTGAAAAAATTAAACGTAATTGAACAGAACCGGAACTAAACTAAACTAAACTAAATCTGAACTAGTACTGAACTAGAACTGAACTAGAACTGAACTAGAACTGAACTAGAACTGAACTAGAACTGAACTAGAACTGAACTAGAACTGAACTAGAACTGAACTAGAACTGAACTAGAACTGAACTAGAACTGAACTAGAACTGAACTAGAACTGAACTAGAACTGAACTAGAACTGAACTAGAACTGAACTAGAACTGAACTAGAACTGAACTAGAACTGAACTAGAACTGAACTAGAACTGAACTAGAACTGAACTAGAACTGAACTAGAACTGAACTAGAACTGAACTAGAACTGAACTAGAACTGAACTAGAACTGAACTAGAACTGAACTAGAACTGAACTAGAACTGAACTAGAACTGAACTAGAACTGAACTAGAACTGAACTAGAACTGAACTAGAACTGAACTAGAACTGAACTAGAACTGAACTAGAACTGAACTAGAACTGAACTAGAACTGAACTAAACTGAACTAGAACTGAACTAAACTGAACTAGAACTGAACTAGAACTGAACTAGAACTGAACTAGAACTGAACTAGAACTGAACTAGAACTGAACTAGAAGAACTAGAACTGAACTAGAACTGAACTAGAACTGAACTAGAACTGAACTAGAACTGAACTAGAACTGAACTAGAACTGAACTAGAACTGAACTAGAACTGAACTAGAACTGAACTAGAACTGAACTAGAACTGAACTAGAACTGAACTAGAACTGAACTAGAACTGAACTAGACTGAACTAGAACTGAACTAGAACTGAACTAGAACTGAACTAGAACTGAACTAGAACTGAACTAGAACTGAACTAGAACTGAACTAGAACTGAACTAGAACTGAACTAGAACTAACTAGAACTGAACTAGAACTGAACTAGAAATGAACTAGAACTGAACTAGAACTGAACTAGAACTGAACTAGAACTGAACTAGAACTGAACTAGAACTGAACTAGAACTGAACTAGAACTGAACTAGAACTGAACTAGAACTGAACTAGAACTGAACTAGAACTGAACTAGAACTGAACTAGAACTGATCTAGAACTAGAATTTAACTTGAACTTTGAAGAATGTTTAAAATCCAAAAAATATCGGAAATATTCTGTGTATATTTCCTCTCATAAAGCGCACTGTGTAAGTTATTTATCGTCTTTTGTAACATGTCAGCCATCCATAGCACAAAAAGGCTTACAAAAGTCCTGCCTGCCTGTCATTATAGATTTTTTTATTGTTGTTTAGCCGTCAAGCGACCAACAACAAAAACAACAATATTTGTTCAAAATACTAACAAACAAATCCAAACATACATTTACAAACTTAAATACAAACATAGCGTCAATTAAAATAGAAAAAATATGAACTAAAGTGTTACAAAATTACCAAGTGTAAATAAAAAATAGAATAGAACTAAAGAGAATTTAAACCAAATTGATTATGAATTATAGAAATATTCTTTAAAACCTTTTACATTTCAGTTTACGCTATATAGAAATAAATTTACTTTCTGCAACATATATACTCTAGTTTGTTTGTGTTTATATTATTTTAATTCTAAACAAATTTTGGCGCATTTACCTTGACGGTCCAATTCCAAAAGGGATGCATTACATACACACTCAATGGTGATGTATCGCGTGCACTGTACTGTAAAGAGAAAAAAATAACAACAATAGAAAAACATTAAATCAATGTTGTTGAAATAAAATTGAAATGTTGTAAGTGGGAATTAAAATTTAAATAAAAAACCTACTAGAAGTATGAGTACAAACAGTAGTAAATATAATAGGATTTAGATTTTTGTGTTGACACAACATTCTATGAATTTATTTAATTATAGTGATAATAAAAACTATGTATGTAGATAAAAGTTGGATACTTATTTAATAAAATAAACTAACAGTTAAAAGCATTGTGTTTTGAGATTTTTAGTTACCAAGCGGTTGGTAGGAAAAGTACAAACAAGTTAGTTGAGAAGTTTAAAATTTAGGTAAAGGGGTTAATTGTTATTTAAGTTATAAAACATATAATTTGGAAAGTACTATTTTTGAAGTACATACTAGTGTTATTGCTAATGAAGCACTAATTTTTAGCTTTTTTGAAAATTTAACTAAAAATTAACTTCTAGTTCAGTTCTAGTTTAGTTCTAGTTCAGTTCTAGTTTAGTTCTAGTTCAGTTCTAGTTCAGTTCTAGTTCAGTTCTAGTTCAGTTCTAGTTCAGTTCTAGTTCAGTTCTAGTTCAGTTCTAGTTCAGTTCTAGTTCAGTTCTAGTTCAGTTCTAGTTCAGTTCTAGTTCAGTTCTAGTTCAGTTCTAGTTCAGTTTTTAGTTCAGTTCTAGTTCAGTTCTAGTTCAGTTCTAGTTCAGTTCTAGTTCAGTTCTAGTTCAGTTCTAGTTCAGTTCTAGTTCAGTTCTAGTTCAGTTCTAGTTCAGTTCTAGTTCAGTTCTAGTTCAGTTCTAGTTCAGTTCTAGTTCAGTTCTAGTTCAGTTCTAGTTCAGTTCTAGTTCAGTTCTAGTCCAGTTCAAGTTCTGTTCTAGTTCAGTTCTAATTCAGTTCTAGCTCAGTTCTAGTTGTTCAGTTCTAGTTCAGTTCTAGTTCAGTTCTAGTTCAGTTCTAGTTCAGTTCTAGTTCAGTTCTAGTTCAGTTCTAGTTCAGTTCTAGTTCAGTTCTAGTTCAGTTCTAGTTCAGTTCTAGTTCAGTTCTAGTTCAGTTCTAGTTCAGTTCTAGTTCAGTTCTAGTTCAGTTCTAGTTCAGTTCTAGTTCAGTTCTAGTTCAGTTCTAGTTCAGTTCTAGTTCAGTTCTAGTTCAGTTCTAGTTCAGTTCTAGTTCAGTTCTATTTCAGTTCAGTTTCAGTTCAGTTCTAGTTCAGTTCTAGTTCAGTTCTAGTTCAGTTCTAGTTCAGTTCTAGTTCAGTTCTAGTTCAGTTCTAGTTCTGTTCTAGTTCAGTTCTAGTTCAGTTCTAGTTCAGTTCTAGTTCAGTTCTAGTTCAGTTCTAGTTCAGTTCTAGTTCAGTTCTAGTTCAGTTCTAGTTCAGTTCTAGTTCAGTTCTAGTTCAGTTCTAGTTCAGTTCTAGTTCAGTTCTAGTTCAGTTTAGTTCAGTTCTAGTTCTAGTTCAGTTCTAGTTCTAGTTCAGTTCTAGTTCAGTTCTAGTTCAGTTCAGTTCAGTTCTAGTTCAGTTTAGTTCAGTTTTAGTTCAGTTCTAGTTCAGTTCTAGTTCAGTTCTAGTTCAGTTTAGTTCAGTTCTAGTTCAGTTCTAGTTCAGTTCTAGTTCAGTTCTAGTTCAGTTCTAGTTCAGTTCTAGTTCAGTTCTAGTTCAGTTCTAGTTCAGTTCTAGTTCAGTTCTAGTTCAGTTCTAGTTCAGTTCTAGTTCAGTTCTAGTTCAGTTCTAGTTCAGTTCTAGTTCAGTTCTAGTTCAGTTCTAGTTCAGTTCTAGTTCAGTTCTAGTTCAGTTCTAGTTCAGTTCTAGTTCAGTTCTAGTTCAGTTCTAGTTCAGTTCTAGTTCAGTTCTAGTTCAGTTCTAGTTCAGTTCTAGTTCAGTTCTAGTTCAGTTCTCAGTTCTAGTTCAGTTCTAGTTCAGTTCTAGTTCAGTTCTAGTTCAGTTCTAGTTCTAGTTCAGTTCTAGTTCAGTTCTAGTTCAGTTCTAGTTCAGTTCTAGTTCAGTTCTAGTTCAGTTCTAGTTCAGTTCTAGTTCAGTTCTAGTTCAGTTCTAGTTCAGTTCTAGTTCAGTTCTAGTTCAGTTCTAGTTCAGTTCTAGTTCAGTTCTAGTTCAGTTCTAGTTCAGTTCTAGTTCAGTTCTCTAGTTCAGTTCTAGTTCAGTTCTAGTTCAGTTCTAGTTCAGTTCTAGTTCAGTTCTAGTTCAGTTCTAGTTCAGTTCTAGTTCAGTTCTAGTTCAGTTCTAGTTCATTCTAGTTCAGTTCAGTTCAGTTCAAGTTCAGTTCTAGTTCAGTTCTAGTTCAGTTCTAGTTCAGTTCTAGTTCAGTTCTAGTTCAGTTCTAGTTCAGTTCTATTCAGTTCTAGTTCAGTTCTAGTTCAGTTCTAGTGCAGTTCTAGTTCAGTTCTAGTTCAGTTCTAGTTCAGTTCTAGTTCAGTTCTAGTTCAGTTCTAGTTCAGTTCTAGTTCAGTTCTAGTTCAGTTCTAGTTCAGTTCTAGTTCAGTTCTAGTTCAGTTCTAGTTCAGTTCTAGTTCAGTTCTAGTTCAGTTCTAGTTCAGTTCTAGTTCAGTTCTAGTTCAGTTCTAGTTCAGTTCTAGTTCAGTTCTAGTTCAGTTCTAGTTCAGTTCTAGTTCAGTTCTAGTTCAGTTCTAGTTCAGTTCTAGTTCAGTTCTAGTTCAGTTCTAGTTCAGTTCTAGTTCAGTTCTAGTTCAGTTCTAGTTCAGTACTAGTTTAGTACAATTTAGTTAAATTCTGGTTTACTTTTAGTTAATTTCTAATTCTCTTATAGTTCTAGGGCAGTTATAATACAAAATAAGCAATTTAAAAAAATAGTTATTACAAATTAATTCCATTTGCGTACTCATTCAATCTCAATTTACAATGCAAATAATGATTTTTTAGCACATTTATACATTCTTAGTATTAAATAAATAAAACACTCCTTTAATATGGAAATTTCTTTAAAATTATACAATTTCTAAGAAATTTGGAAAGGTATTATTAATTAAACTTAATTTAAAATTAAAAACAAAGTTTGCTTACTTGGTAATGATCGAAACCATTAAGATGTTCTTGGGTTAAATATTTATAATTTAACAGCTGCTGCATTAAAGACATAATGAAGATTTGGAAGAGGAAAACGTTGTAGTAATGAAATTAACAAAAAACCAATAAAAATGTTATAGAAGTAATAAATCTTGTGTAGTAGGTATTTTCCGTAATTTTAAAGAGGGTTGTTGGGTGGTTGTAACTTTAACACGTTTAATAGGGGAGGGATTGGTTGGTTTTGTATTTTTTATTTAGATTTTCTTCAATATTAAATTAATATTAAATAATTTTTTTTTTTGGTATTTTTAATTTAAATGAATTAAACAAGAAACCGTAACACAAAATAAACAGCACGAACACGTTGTTGTTACTCAACCGCTTGAGAGGAGGAATCTTTTTTATTTTATCAGAGAGATCTTAGTGTAAAAACGTGAAAAAGAGATAATGTGCGATAGGAATTAATCAACTAAATAAAGTAAATAAATTTAAATCCAGCAGCAACAAAATTTAACACACAAGAGCTGGAAAGGCAGCAGCAGTAGACGAAGGCAGCAGACACAAAAGACCCAGCAAATACAACCATAAACTTCAGCAGCTGTAGTTTAGAATACAAAGTACTCCCACGCCAAGGAATACAACAATGTGAAAAGGGCAGACGACACAGCCAAAAGGGGAGAAATTTATTGACTGGCCGCTGTTTATTTTTCACCAGAAAACAGCAATTTGTTTCTTTACACAATATTTTTTAATAATTTTATAATTTTCACTTAATTTTTCTATGAAATTTTTTTAATTTTTATGTTATATGCTTTCAATACATTAAAATTTATTGATTTATTCACAGCCTCTTAGTATTTTCAACCAAATTTTAAAACAAATCACTTTTATTAGTTTTCAAAGCATTTTTCAAACAAATTTATATATTTCCTTTTTTATTTGTTATATTTTTTTTTTTAATTTCTTTTAATTTTTATTGAAAATTTCTTTTTATTTCTAATTTAGAGCTGCTTAATTTTTATTAGTTGTCTGCTCACAGTGCCGCGTTGCCACGAATAGTTCTTGTTTTTTTCTGCTTTGATTTTTTGTTGTGTTTTTTCTTTTCTTCTTTTTTGGCTCTCTGTGTTTTTTTGCCGAGTGTTTTTGCGCTACTGGCAAAAACAACAATAACAGTGTTCTTTTTGTTTATTTGTTTTTGCTTCTGGTTTACGAACAGAGTTAGATAACTGCCATAACCCTTTATAAACAGCTGAATATAATTGTTCACACCAAAATATAATGCACTGTTTTATCCTCATTTGTACTGTTTTACCTTACACTGTACAAGACCGTTAACACATAATTTTTTCACACTAAATTGCACAGCGGAGCAGAATCTAGGAAATTTTTTTGGAAATAAAGCTGACATTTCTAAACGGCTGTTTCGATTAGAATAAAATTGGACATAGGAGTAGTGAAGGAAAATTCGTGTTTAAGTTTTGAAAATAAACCCCACAAATGCTCTTGATGCTGCGCAATGGCTGCACAAAGTAAGGTTCCTTCGACATGTAATATTACTCAGACCAAAGAAATTTTTAATCCAAAGACCGATGAATACTTTTCAAAAAATTCTGATATAAATTCGTATCTGACATCACATTTTATATATCAATTCAAGATGTTTTGAGATATTTCAGTTCTAATTCAGTTCCAGTTCAGTTCTAATTCCATTCTAATTTCATTCTAGTGCAGCACTAGTTCTGTTCTAGTTTTGTTCTAGTTCAGTTCTAGTTTAATCTATATATATAAAAATGAATGTGTGTTTGTTTGTATGTTTGAACGTTATAGACTACTAAACGGCTGAACCGATTTTCTTGAAATTTTCACAGCATATTCCTGCATGTCTGGAATAGGTAATAGGCTACTTTTTATTTCGAAATTTCAAGTGGGCGATGAGCCACGCCCACATTAAGAAAATATAAAATCCGTATATTTTAGATAATATAACAGTTAGAGTCCTCAAATTTTGTCGGAGCCACTTTAGTGTCAATATGATCATTTAGGACAAAAAGTAGGCGGACTAGCATTAGGGGGCGTGGTACCTCCCATATAAATTAAATACAAAAATTCGTTTATCTGGGAAACTAATAGAACTAAATTCTTAAAATTTAGCACGAAGAACTTTAACATCCATATAAACATTTTGGGTAATAAATTGGCGGACTACCCATGAGGGGAGCGGCACCTCCCATATTAATTAAATACAAAAATTCGTTTATCTGGGAAACTAATAGAACTAAATTCTTAAAATTTTGCACAAAGAACTTTAACATCCATATAAACATTTTGGGTAAAAAATTGGCGGACTACCCATGAGGGGAGCGGCACCTCCCATATTAATTAAAAACAAAAATTCGTTTATCTGGGAAACTAATAGAACTAAATTCTTAAAATTTTGCACGAAGAACTTTAATATTCATCTGAACATTTTTAAGGAAAAAAGAGCGGACTTTCATCTGGGGGGCTTGGAGCCCCCATATGAATAAAATAGAAAAATTCGTATATCTGAGAAACAATTAGAGCTAGAATCATTAAATTTTACTTGAAGAACTTTGACATTCACCTGAACATTTAGAATATAACGGGCGGACTTCCAATGGGTTACTTGGTACCTCCCATATGAATTAAATACAAAATTTCGTTTAACTGGGAAACTAATAGAACTAGATTCTTCAAATTTCGAACAAATTATTTTAATAATCATCTGAATATTTTGGAGGAAAAAGGGCGGACTTTCATCCGGGGGGCTTGAAGCCCCCACATGAATTAAATTCGTATATCTGAGAAACTATTAGAGCTAGAATCTTAAAATTTTACATGAAGAACTTTGACATTCATGTGAACATTTAGAGAATAACGGGCGGACTTTCAATGGGGGGCTTGGCACCACATATATGAATTAAATACAAAATTTCGTGCATCTTGGAAACTCTTATATTATTCAAATTTTTTGTAGATAGATAGAAATTGGCGATAGATAGAAACTGGCGAACTTGCAATAATTTGCTTGACATCTTTTATATGTAACATATAATAAATCTGGTATTTATTTATACATATTCCTTTTAGGGTAGCAAAGCACACTGGGTATAGCTAGTTCTAAATAAGTTTGAGTTCAGTTCTAGTTCTGTTCTATTCTATTTCTGTTCTAATTCTGTACGAGTTCTGTCATAATTCAGTTCATTTCTAGTCCAGTTCTAGTTCTGTTCTAGTTCTGTTCTAGTTCTGTTCTAGTTCTGTTCTAGTTCTGTTCTAGTTCTGTTCTAGTTCTGTTCTAGTTCTAGTTCTGTTCTACTTCTGTTCTAGTTCTGTTCTACTACTGTTCTAGTTCTGTTCTAGTTCTGTTCTAGTTCTGTTCTAGTTCTGTTCTAGTTCTGTTCTAGTTCTGTTCTAGCTCTGTTCTAGTTCTGTTCTAGTTCTATTCTAGTTCTGTTCTAGTTCTACTCTAGTTCTACTCTACTTCTATTCTAGTTCTGTTCTAGTTGTTTTAGTTCCATTCTAGTTCTGTTTTAGTTGTGTTCTAGTTGTGTTCTAGTTCTGTTCTAGTTCTATTCTAGTTCTGTTCTAGTTCTGTTCTAGTTGTGTTCTAGTTCTGTTTTAGTTTATATCCAGTTCAGTATTAGTTCTATTTCAATTCTATTTCTGGACTAGTTCTTTTCTAGTTCAATTTTAGTTCAGTTATAGTTCAGTTCTAGTTCAATTCTAGTTCTAATTGAGTATAATAATATATTTGATTACAAACTTTATTTATTAAGCATTCTCCCACGTAACTTATTAATGTAATATAAATATCCCAACCCTGTTATTAATTAACTGTATTATCTACATTTAACTGAAGAAACGCTATTATCACAATACCGTAACCGCCTTACCGTTTATATGGTTGCATTTGATAGCACTGCTTTAACATCTCTTAATAAGCATTCACAATAGTTTAACAACTGCTGTTATTATCAAATGACTTTGTGTTCATTGCTCATTACAAGTGAAAAACTTTAGTTTAAATTTTTATTTAATTTCTTTTTAATATGTTTTATAATTTCTTTATTTGGTTTATCAACTACAATTATATTGTATTTAATTGTTTTTTTGTATTTTTTTCATTTTTTTATTAATTCTCTAAATTTTATTTATGGATGGGTTTCAAGTAACGGACGTGTAACTATATAATATTTATATAAATAAAAAAACGAATATTTCTTAAATAAATTTTAACGCAACTAAAAAGTAATTAACAATAAAATTTAACAAAAATGAATATTATAAGACAAGTTTTAGTTCAGCTTTAGTTTTCTTTAGACATTATGGTAATTTTGTCTTAAACTTACAAATCTTTTGAGATTTAATAAAAAAAAACTAAACATAATTGTTAAGGTATAAATTTGTTTAATAAAAATAATCTTTTGCTTTAATAATTTCATAAATTAGGAACAAAATTGTGTTTGTGGTTTGAAAATAGAAATTTTTTTTGGAGCTATAGAAAAAACAAACGAAACTTAAATTTTTAAAACATTTCAAACTAAATTTTCGTTTATTTTCTCCCCGGTTGCTCTTATTATAATTTGTTTATCAAAATAGGTTTAATAAAATAAGTTTTTAACTAATAAACATATGCTTATAAAAAAGTTTTAAGTATATAAATGTATAAAACTTAATTTTATTGAGTTTACAGTTTGTTATTTTATAATTTAGTTTTAAGTTTTAAATTTTGCAGTTTTAATACTTTATTTTTTTTTGCAATTTCTTATTTTTTATAATTTAAGCTCAAAAAATTATGCAAAATACTGTTTTCATTTTAACTTCTTTTCGTTTAATTTCAGTTTAAAGCCATTTTTACTAAAATGAGCTTATTTATATCCCTAAATAACCAAGAGCTAGTTAAACATTTTGGTTTTGTAAAAACGTTTATAGTTGTTAAGATTTGATTTCATATTTTCCTTTATTTTTATGTTTTGTTTGAAGAAGGCAAAAATGGGTTTTATTTTAAGTTTTTCCGAATATTTTATTACTTTAAGATGATTTTTTCGCACGTCTTCTCGAATTGCCAGGACAACCGGAAGCACTTAATAAGTGTAATTTCCAACCACCATCCAAAGGCAAATGTACATCATCATGACACAGGGGACAGCGAGCGGCACCAGTTTTGAGTTCTATTTTAAATATTTTTAAATTATATAAAAATGGTTTTTCTTTTAGGTACATTCTGATGATTTTAAATTACCTCTACAATAGTCTTCCATTTGATGTAAATCGTACAGTTGCTTATGTACTGACTCAGTACAGCGTTCACACATTATATAATTATCCTTGGCTTCACACTCCTCTGCAATAAGAAGTAAATCAAATTTAGATCCAGAACAGTTTATTTTCAGTTCTAGTTCTTTTCTAGTTCGGTTCTAGTTCAGTTCTAGTTCAATTCCAGTTCAGTTCTAGTTCAGTTCTAGTTCAGTTCTAGTTCAGTTCTAGTTCAGTTCTAGTTCTAGTTCAGTTCTAGTTCTAGTTCAGTTCTAGTTCAGTTCTAGTTCAGTTCTAGTTCAGTTCTAGTTCTAGTTCAGTTCTAGTTCAGTTCTAGTTCAGTTCTAGTTCAGTTCTAGTTCAGTTCTAGTTCAGTTCTAGTTCAGTTCTAGTTCAGTTCTAGTTCAGTTCTAGTTCAGTTCTAGTTCAGTTCTAGGTCAGTTCTAGTTCAGTTCTAGTTCAGTTCTAGTTCAGTTCTAGTTCAGTTCCAGTTCAGTTCTAGTTCTAGTTTAGTTCTAGTTCAGTTCTAGTTCTGTTCTAGTTCAGTTCTAGTCAGTTTAGTTCTAGTTCAGTTCTAGTTCAGTTCTAGTTCAGTTCTAGTTCAGTTCTAGTTCAGTTCTAGTTCAGTTCTAGTCTGTTCTAGTTCTGTTCTAGTTCTGTTCTAGTTCTGTTCTAGTTCTGTTCTAGTTCTGTTCTAGTTCTGTTCTAGTTCTGTTCTAGTTCTGTTCTAGTTCTGTTCTAGTTCTGTTCTAGTTCTGTTCTAGTTCTGTTCTAGTTCTGTTCTAGTTCTGTTCTAGTTCTGTTCTAGTTCTGTTCTAGTTCTGTTCTAGTTCTGTTCTAGTTCTGTTCTAGTTCTGTTCTAGTTCTGTTCTAGTTCTGTTCTAGTTCTGTTCTAGTTCTGTTCTAGTTGTTCTAGTTCTGTTCTAGTTCTGTTCTAGTTCTGTTCTAGTTCTGTTCTAGTTCTGTTCTAGTTCTGTTCTAGTCTGTTCTAGTTCTGTTCTAGTTCTGTTCTAGTTCTGTTCTAGTTCTGTTCTAGTTCTGTTCTAGTTCTGTTCTAGTTCTGTTCTAGTTCTGTTCTAGTTCTGTTCTAGTTCTGTTCTAGTTCTGTTTCTAGTTTCGTGTTCTAGTTCGGTTCTATCGTTCTAGTTCTGTTCTAGTTCTTGTTCTAGTTTCTGTTCTAGTTCTGTCTAGTTCTGTTCTAAGTTCTGTTCTAGTTCTTTCTAGTTTCGAGTTTGTCTAGTCTAGTCTATTCTGTTCAAGTTCTGTTCTAGTTCTGTTCTAGTTCAGTTCTAGTTCAATTCTAGTTCGGTTCTATAGAACAGCCGGCTTTCCTTAAACAAACTCTTATTGGAAATTGTAGAAATATCTAGGTTTTCTAAAGCTTAAATTTTATTATTTAACATAAAATAACGTTAAAGTTTCAACACAAAACCAAATTAAATTTAAAAAATTTATAAAATTTTCAAACTACCGATGATTTTGAACAAAATTTTAGAATTCGGCTACCAAATGAACAAGTACTTACTTGTTTTCTAAAACAATTTTAAAGCCAATTTAATTATTTGCTAAACAGAATAATTGGCTTTCAAGTTCCATTGAAAACTTTTAAAATATCAACAAGAACTCTTAGAACTTACTTGTTAAATGATAATTTAGAGCGGCCACTTCTAAAACCTGGCTGCATTGAGGACACTTAGTTAGGAATGGGCAAGATTTCCAATAATGGCGATCCAATTGAGCTTGATCGCCATTTTGCGAGGACCAATCACAAAAGGGACAACGTCTGCAATAAACAAATGTTTATAATTAAACATAATAAATGTTTTCTTTGCTCTACTTACATAACATCCGCTGCCTCTTCAAACGATTCAGAATTTGAGTTGGAATTTTTTCTCGAACTACTGGCCGATATCATGGATCTTTTCAACTGTTCATTATACTGCTGCTTACCATTACATTTGGCCATATCTTTACCTGAAGTTAAGTAACCATTACTACCTCCTGGATTACCCGCTTGAGCCAAAGTTTGACCACTTTTACTCTTTAAAATACGTGTTTCAGATCTTCTCATGGGACTTGATTGAGAGTCAGGAGATTTGCAACCAAAACTATAGGGACTGGCACGACTATCGGAGCTACCACTTGCTGCGCCACCACCGCCGCCCAATTGTAAATGTTCCACAGCACTACGATTTGAGGGTGGTGATTGTGGATCACTGGAACTATGACCGCCCGCGTATTTATTTGCCTCCAACATCTCAGCCTTACGTTCCAAATCTAACTTATCAAATTCTGTAAACAATTGGCGATACAATAAATTGCGTCGCGTTATATCATCATCAGGCGGTAGCTGTTTACGCACAAGACGAGGATTTACTTTGTACACTAGCAAAAGTATCCTCTCGGCTACTTTACGCACCGGCTCCGCTGGATGATGTATGCCCGAACAACCACACTCGGACAATGCTCTACACGTTAGACCGCTATGTTTGTCGGTGCTAATGCCTTGACTTAGAACCAATTGTTCTAACATTTGCATACGACTTAAGGCCAAGCGAGGATGTGTACCCGAACTAACAGTTCTGGATAAAGCGGGCGCCACTAGATGCTGCTCCTGCACTTCGGGACAAGAGGCTATACTCAATATAGTATGTTGAGCCAATGTATGTATGCGAGCCGAAGGATCTCCCGATTTAGCCAACAATTCGGGCAGCAAACGATCTACACAGCGGGCCACCTCACTCTGCGACACTCTACCGGGTACATATTCCAAAAATAGCACCCGCACTGTTTCTGTGGCTTGATTAAATACCGAATATACAGCATCTCGTACGGAACGATGTAGTAGGAAAGCAGCACTGCGTGCTACTTTATTGGGTCCAGCTGTGTTTTCACTATTTGAATTATTGGCATTTGGTTGTGTTTCAATTTCGTGGCCCTTGAGGAAATTGCGTAAACGTACTAGACCATCTTCACGATCTTGAAATTGTCGTGAGTAGAATTGTTCCACCTGTGGAGAGAAATTAAAGAGTTATGAATTTGAGTCTTTGATTTTTTTGAAATAAAAGTTAAGGAGATTGAGGTGAGTGTGTGCTAGTTCTATTATAGTTCGAATTTAGTTCATTCTAATTCAAATCTAGTTCAGTTCCAATTCAGTTCTAGTTCAGTTCTAGTTCAGTTCTAGTTTAGTTCTAGTTCAGTTCTAGTTCAGTTCTAGTTCAGTTCTAGTTCAGTTCTAATTCAGTTCTAGTTCAGTTCTAGTTCAGTTCTAGTTCAGATCTAGTTCAGTTCTAGTTCAGTTCTAGTTCAGATCTAGTTCAGTTCTAGTTCAGTTCTAGTTCAGTTCTAGTTCAATTCTAGTTCAGTTCTAGTTCAGTTCTAGTTCAGTTCTAGTTCAGTTCCAATTCAGTTCTAGTTCAGTTCTAATTCAGTTCTAGTTCAGTTCTAGTTCAGTTCTAGTTCAGTTCTAGTTCAGATCTAGTTCAGTTCCACTTCAGTTCTAGTTCAGATCTAGTTCAGTTCTAGTTCAGTTCTAGTTCAGTTCTAGTTCAGTTCTAGTTCAGTTCTAGTTCAGTTCTAGTTCAGTTCTAGTTCAGTTCTAGTTCAGTTCTAGTTCAGTTCTAGTTCAGTTCTAGTTCAGTTCTAGTTCAGTTCTCTTTCAGTTCTAGTTCAGTTCTAGTTCAGTTCTAGTTCAGTTCTAGTTCAGTTCTAGTTCAGTTCTAGTTCAGTTCTAGTTCAGTTCTAGTTCAGTTCTAGTTCAGTTCTAGTTCAGTTCTAGTTCAGTTTAGTTCAGTTCTAGTTCAGTTCTAGTTCAGTTCTAGTTCAGTTCTAGTTCAGTTCTAGTTCAGTTCTTGTTCAGTTCTAGTTCAGTTCTAGTTCAGTTCTAGTTCAGATCTAGTTCAGTTCTAGTTCAGTTCTAGTTCAGATCTAGTTCAGTTCTAGTTCAGTTCTAGTTAAGTTCTAGTTCAGTTTTAGTTCAGTTCTAGTTCAGTTCTAGTTCAGTTCTAGTTCAGTTCTAGTTCAGTTCTAGTTCAGTTCTAGTTCAGTTCTAGTTCAGTTCTAGTTCAGTTCTAGTTCAGTTCTAGTTCAGTTCTAGTTCAGTTCTAGTTCAGTTCTAGTTCAGTTCTAGTTCAGTTCTAGTTCAGTTCTAGTTCAGTTCTAGTTCAGTTCTAGTTCAGTTCTAGTTCAGTTCTAGTTCAGTTCTAGTTCAGTTCTAGTTCAGTTCTAGTTCAGTTCAGTCTAGTTCAGTTCTAGTTCAGATCTAGTTCAGTTCTAGTTCAGTTCTAGTTCAGATCTAGTTCAGTTCTAGTTCAGTTCTAGTTCAGTTCTAGTTAAGTTCTAGTTCAGTTTTAGTTCAGTTCTAGTTCAGTTCTAGTTCAGTTCTAGTTCAGTTCTAGCTCAGTTCTAGTTCCGTTCTAGTTCAGTTCTAGTTCAGTTCTAGTTCAGTTCTAGTTCAGTTCTAGTTCAGTTCTAGTTCAGTTCTAGTTCAGTTCTAGTTCAGTTCTAGTTCAGTTCTAGTTCAGTTCTAGTTCAGTTCTAGTTCAGTTCTATTTCAGTTCTAGTTCAGTTCTAGTTCAGTTCTAGTTCAGTTCTAGTTCAGTTCTAGTTCAGTTCTAGTTCAGGTCTAGTTCAGTTCTAGTTCAGTTCTAGTTCAGTTCTAGTTCAGTTCTAGTTCAGTTCTAGTTCAGTTCTAGTTCAGTTCTAGTTCAGTTAGTTCAGTTTCTAGTTCAGTTCTAGTTCAGTTCTAGTTCAGTTCTAGTTCAGTTCTAGTTCAGTTCTAGTTCAGTTCAAGTTCAGTTCTAGTTCAGTTCTAGTTCAGCCTTATTTCTACTACTGTTTCAGTTCCGTTTTATTTAAAATTCTCCAGAAGCTCTTCTTCTGGTGCACACATTCACTCTAACCTCCTTTTTAACCACTTTCAAACTAACCATATCATTACCAAAGACCAAAATCGGCAAAGCCGCCTGACGACGTTCACGATCGTTTAAACGTGAACGACCACGATTGGGATCGGACTCCAGTAAAGCGGTACCTTGACACTCTCTTAAAAATTCATTAGTATTCGAACTGGATCATCAAAAGGATTTTATAGTATAACATCAACATACATCGAAATGATATTATTTTGGTATATATTTTGTTATTTAAATAAAATTACAAGATGAAGAGAAAAAAAGTTTGGGAATAGGTAGAGCAAACATGATGTAGTGTAGTTAGAATAAGGCGAAGCGAGCATGAAATGGGAAAATAAAATGGATAAAATAATTAAAACTAAGTTGAAGATGAAGATAAGTATTGATGTAACTACTAAGACGACTAGGTTTGAGACATTATCCGTAGCGCTATTAAGAAAACATGCAGTTAGAATTGTACATTTACATTTCAGTGTTCTTTTTTTTTACTATAACATCCAAAAACTTAAGGGAGTTAACTAGAATCTTTGACTTTTTTTTTTTGGAATTACTTGGTAGATCTCTAAGACTAAAGGATTATTAGCGAGAAAACACATCTATAGAATTTAGACATGAAACTATAATGTATTGTTGTAATTTAACTTACTGCCTTAGAGTGGGTATGGCACGATCTTCATATTCTTCATAGGAATTGCGAGGAGCACTTTTGTTGCGCCTCCTCAAAGAACCCTGGTGACTGGACATGGGTGAACTATGGCGGCTGGGACTACGGCGCATATTCAATTTGGGCGACATGGGTATTTCATCGTGAGATTTACGTAAACTGGCGGCCGATAGCGTTGAAATATTGTCACTTATGCTGTTGCTGTGATTGGTCTGAGAGAGATTGCCTAAACCCCCGGTAGAGCTATTGCCATCTGTAGAGGATTTATCATCTTGGGCACTTTTAGGACTCATAGTGGCGGCCAAATGAGCCTCTGCCAAAGCTTGGGCCACATCTTGCAAACTGGGCGCTACCGGTAGTATGGGTTTGGAGGCATAAACCTCACAAGCCATATCATTAGCAGCCACAGATTCACCATTTTTCTCTAACAATTCATCGATTAGTAAATGTTTAAATACCGAGGATTTGTACATTTCTATTTGTTCTTTTCTTAGCTTGGCGGTAGTAAAATCCTCCTGTTGCACTGCTTGGCGTTTAGCCAAGGCATAACGTCCTAGTCTTTCACCAGCAGTGCGTAAAGCACTCATACATAACTTTAATTTGCGAGCATATTCAAAACGTTCCGTGGCCACAGCTTTTAACTTGCGATCTTCCATTTCTCGTATGATCTCGGCTATAGATTCTTCCACATACATGGAAAATAACAAATCATCACACATAGAAGCTAAGGCAGACTCTCCCGAAGAGTCTTGTGTAGATTGTTGTTGCTGTTCTTGATTAGAAGCAGCAGCAGCACCACCTCCATTTTCCTCCGCTTCCTTATTTTGTCCATTAGCGGTCACATCCAATTCTTCGCCCAAAACATTTACCGCTATCAAAGCTATCTGTTTATCGGTATTAAAGTCATTAATATGAGGACCACTTAGCCTCAGTTTTAAATGTGTGCCTTTGCGAGGATTAACCGAAACACTTTGCAGTTCCCGGGATTTATAATTGGTAGCAGCATTATCTGCTAAGGCCACAAAACCCAGAAAATCAAAACATTGTGAAGAGGGTGTACTGGGTATACTTTTGGGGGAATAATGTAACCAGAGTTCAACTTTTTCGGCTGTTGATAAATTTTAAATTACAAGTTTAATATGATTTTTTTTTTTGAAATTTAATCCTCTAAGACTTACGTATCAGATACTGGTGGGCTAATAATTGTATACGACATATTTTCGCCGGCTTATGAAATCTTAAAACAATATCATGTGGCGTTAAAGTACTACCTACAGCGCTGCGCCAGCCATGTACCGTAGGTCCATGGGTATTTAGTTCACTAGCTGGAAAGTTAGGATCTTCATCTGCAAAAAAGAGAATTCAAAAAAACATTAGTTTTCAACCAACATATAACGATCTAATAACCTTAGAATAATTTCAAAAATTTTCCGTTTTCTTTAATCTTATATAGAAATGCATGTTTTTCAACAGTTTTATAAAAAAACATCTTAAAACTTATAGAAAATTACAAAATTACAAAATTTCTTTCAATATATTTAACATGTTTCCATTTCATAATATAAATTTCTTTCAGTGTTCAACTCTCACTCTTCTCTTTAACTCATAATCTTTTTTTACTACACGTGTTGCTTTCTCACTCCCTCTTTAACTCAAATATGTACATATATTTAACTACACACTTGATTGAGCCAATGAAATGTTATCAACATAATCGAATATTAATCGAATACGAAAGCCATAATAAAAACAAACAAGAAACTAAAATAAAATACATAAAAAACCACACTCAGCAACAAATAAATAAACAAAACAAGTGTCATGAAGATGATAAAAATAAACTGAAGCAAAAAGCGAATGGGACATTAAGCAAGTTGCCACATGCAGGGGACAAAAATTAAAAAAAAAAAAGTGGGATTTTTGGGGACAAAAAGGCATAAAGTTTTAGTTTAGTTCTAGTTCAGTACTAGTTCAGTTCTAGTTCAGTTCTAGTTCAGTTCTAGTTCAGTTCTAGTTCAGTTCTAGTTCTAGTTCAGTTCTAGTTCAGTTCTAGTTCAGTTCTAGTTCAGTTCTAGTTCAGTTCTAGTTCAGTTCTAGTTCAGTTCTAGTTCAGTTCTAGTTCAGTTCTAGTTCAGTTCTAGTTCAGTTCTAGTTCAGTTCTAGTTCAGTTCTAGTTCAGTTCTAGTTCAGTTCTAGTTCAGTTCTAGTTCAGTTCTAGTTCAGTTCTAGTTCAGTTCTAGTTCAGTTCTAGTTCAGTTCTAGTTCAGTTCTAGTTCAGTTCTAGTTCAGTTCTAGTTCAGTTCTAGTTCAGTTCTAGTTCAGTTCTAGTTCAGTTCTAGTTCAGTTCTAGTTCAGTTCTAGTTCAGTTCTAGTTCAGTTCTAGTTCAGTTCTAGTTCAGTTCTAGTTCAGTTCTAGTTCTAGTTCAGCTCCTGTTCAGTTCTAGTTCAGTTCTAGTTCAGTTCTAGTTCAGTTCTGGTTCAGTTCTAGTTCAGTTCTAATTCAGTTCTAGTTCAGTTCTAGTTCAGTTCTAGTTCAGTTCTAATTCAGTTCTAGTTCAGTTCTAGTTCAGTTCTAGTTCAGTTCTAGTTCAGTTCTAGTTCAGTTCTAGTTCAGTTCTAGTTCAGTTCTAGTTCAGTTCTAGTTCAGTTCTAGTTCAGTTCTAGTTCAGTTCTAGTTCAGTTCTAGTTCAGTTCTAGTTCAGTTCTAGTTCAGTTCTAGTTCAGTTCTAGTTCAGTTCTAGTTCAGTTCTACTTCAGTTCTAGTTCAGTTCTAGTTCAGTTCTAGTTCAGTTCTAGTTCAGTTCTAGTTCAGTTCTAGTTCAGTTCTAGTTCAGTTCTAGTTCAGTTCTAGTTCAGTTCTAGTTCAGTTCTAGTTCAGTTCTAGTTCAGTTCTAGTTCAGTTCTAGTTCAGTTCTAGTTCAGTTCTAGTTCAGTTCTAGTTCAGTTCTAGTTCAGTTCTAGTTCAGTTCTAGTTCAGTTCTAGTTCAGTTCTAGTTCAGTTCTAGTTCAGTTCTAGTTCAGTTCTAGTTCAGTTCTAGTTCAGTTCTAGTTCAGTTCTAGTTCAGTTCAGTTCTAGTTCAGTTCAGTTCTAGTTCAGTTCTATTCAGTTCTAGTTCTAGTTCTAGTTCAGTTCTAGTTCAGTTCTAGTTCAGTTCTAGTTCAGTTCTAGTTCAGTTCTAGTTCTAGTTCAGTTCTAGTTCAGTTCTAGTTCAGTTCTAATTCAGTTCTAGTTATTTTCTAGTTCAGTTCTAGTTCAGTTCTAGTTCAGTTCTAGTTCAGTTTTAGTTCAGTTCTAGTTCAGTTATAGTTCAGTTATAGTTCAGTTATAGTTCAGTTATAGTTCAGTTATAGTTCAGTTATAGTTCAGTTATAGTTCAGTTATAGTTCAGTTCTAGTTCAGTTCTTGTTCAGTTTTAGTTCAGTTCTAGTTCAGTTCTAGTTCAGTTATAGTTCAGTTATTGTTCACTTCTAGTTCAGTTCTAGTTCAGTTCTAGTTCAGTTTTAGTTCAGTTCTAGTACAGTTCTAGTTCAATTCCAGTTCTATTTCAGTTCTAGTTCTATAGATTCCAGTAGATTTTCCCCAACGTCCCAAAACATTCATCTGGCAACCTTCTTCTCCTTCGCATTCTCTCACTAAATCCAAGAGATACACAAACCGCTTTGCTCTCTCATTCCATAAACATTATTGTTCTCATGTTTCTAAACATTCTAACGAATTTGTATCTCATAAATACAGATAATAGTATTCAGTTTATTTTTAGTTATTAGTTAAAGAAGTTCAACGCAAACGCGTTTAAATTCGTAAAAAAAAATTCAAATTAAAATAAAATTTAGAAAAAATGACCACAGCCACCACAAAATCGAATGCCAAAGAGAAACCTAAAGTGGCATTTTGGTCACAAATACAAAGTTTATTAAATACCATAAACCATATTTTCATCCTACTAATTGGTGTCTATGTTACATTATTGGCTCGTAGTCTCGATTTCCAAGATACTGCCATGCATATGTTTATGACTGTAATAGGGGTAAGTAAGCGGGGGAATGCGATGAATATTCTGTATTTATTTTTACACGTCATAGATTACCTATAGAGAGTGATGATTTGTTATTGTTTAATTAGCCGGCATTTAAAGCGTTTGAATAGAAAAAGTGTTTAGTAAGCAATCACTAACATTGATTTTTAACTTATAGTGGCAGTTTTATGACCTTTGAACTATGTATATGAAGTGATATTTGAAATATGTTTAGTCAGCCAGATAATCTTATCAATTTTAGGTATTGAGTCGTAAAAGGTCTGTTTTATGTAGACATCAAGCTTTGAAGATTGATATAATTTTTTAAATTATCAAATAAATATTAAAGTGAGAGGTACCATTATCGATTAGATGTAATGCAAACTGTTATATGCAATAAGGAAGAAAAGAAAAAAACTGTTATACGCAGCCTTTTCAATGGACAAATAGGTTTATAACAAATATTTTTTAAAACTGCCGTCATATAGAAAATGTTCTTGTTCAGTTCTAGTTCAGTTCTAGTTCAGTTCTAGTTCAGTTCTACTTCAGTTCTAGTTCAGTTCTAGTTCAGTTCTAGTTCAGTTCTAGTTCAGTTCTAGTTCAGTTCTAGTTCAGTTCTAGTTCAGTTCTAGTTCAGTTCTAGTTCAGTTCTAGTTCAGTTCTAGTTCAGTTCTAGTTCAGTTCTAGTTCAGTTCTAGTTCAGTTCTAGTTCAGTTCTAGTTCAGTTCTAGTTCAGTTCTAGTTCAGTTCTAGTTCAGTTCTAGTTCAGTTCTAGTTCAGTTCTAGTTCAGTTCTAGTTCAGTTCTAGTTCAGTTCTAGTTCAGTTCTAGTTCAGTTCTAGTTCAGTTCTAGTTCAGTTCTAGTTCAGTTCTAGTTCAGTTCTAGTTCAGTTCTAGTTCAGTTCTAGTTCAGTTCTAGTTCAGTTCTAGTTCAGTTCTAGTTCAGTTCTAGTTCAGTTCTAGTTCAGTTCTAGTTCAGTTTTAGTTTAGTTCTAGTTCAGTTCTAGTTCAGTTCTAGTTCAGTTTTAGTTCAGTTCTAGTTCAGTTCTAGTTCAGTTCTAGTTCAGTTCTAGTTCAGTTCTAGTTCAGTTCTAGTTCAGTTCTAGTTCAGTTCTAGTTCAGTTCTAGTTCAGTTCTAGTTCAGTTCTAGTTCAGTTCAGTTCTAGTTCAGTTCTAGTTCAGTTCTAGTTCAGTTCTAGTTCAGTTCTAGTTCAGTTCTAGTTCAGTTCTAGTTCAGTTTTAGTTTAGTTCTAGTTTAGTTCTAGTTCAGTTCTAGTTCAGTTCTAGTTCAGTTTTAGTTCAGTTCTAGTTCAGTTCTAGTTCAGTTCTAGTTCAGTTCTAGTTCAGTTCTAGTTCAGTTCTAGTTCAGTTCTAGTTCAGTTCTAGTTCAGTTCTAGTTCAGTTCTAGTTCAGTTCTAGTTCAGTTCTAGTTCAGTTCTAGTTCAGTTCTAGTTCAGTTCTAGTTCAGTTCAGTTCTACTTCAGTTCTAGTTCAGTTTTAGTTAAGTTCTAGTTCAGTTCTAGTTCCGTTCTAGTTCAGTTCTAATTCATTTCTAGTTCAGTTTTAGTTCAATTCTAGTTCAGTTCTAGTTCAGTTCTAGTTCAGTTCTAGTTCAGTTCTAGTTCAGTTCTAGTTCAGTTCTAGTTCAGTTCTAGTTCAGTTCTAGTTCAGTTCTAGTTCAGTTCTAGTTCAGTTCTAGTTCAGTTCTAGTTCAGTTCTAGTTCAGTTCTAGTTCAGTTCAATTCTAGTTCAGTTCTAGTTCAGTTCAATTCTAGTTCAGTTCAATTCTAGTTCAGTTCTAGTTCAGTTCAATTCTAGTTCAGTTCTAGTTCAATTCTAGTTCAGTTCTAGTTCAGTTCTAGTTCAGTTCTAGTTCAGTTCTAGTTCAGTTCTAGTCAGTTCTAGTTCAGTTCTAGTTCAGTTCTAGTTCAATTCTAGTTCAGTTCTAGTTCAGTTCTAGTTCAGTTCTAGTTTCAGTCAATTCTAGTTCAGTTCTAGTTCAGTTCAGTAGTTCTAGTTCAGTTCTAGTTCAGTTCTAGTTCAGTTCTAGTTCAGTTCTAGTTCAGTTCTAGTTCAGTTCTAGTTCAGTTCTAGTTCAGTTCTAGTTCAGTTCTAGTTCAGTTCTAGTTCAGTTCTAGTTCAGTTCTAGTTCAGTTCTAGTTCAGTTCAGTTCTAGTTCAGTTCTAGTTCAGTTCTAGTTCAGTTCTAGTTCAGTTCTAGTTCAGTTCTAGTTCAGTTCTAGTTCAGTTCTAGTTCAGTTCTAGTTCAGTTCTAGTTCAGTTCTAGTTCAGTTCTAGTTCAGTTCTAGTTCAGTTTTAGTTAGTTCTAGTTCAGTTCTAGTTCAGTTCTAGTTCAGTTTTAGTTCAGTTCTAGTTCAGTTCTAGTTCAGTTCTAGTTCAGTTCTAGTTCAGTTCTAGTTCAGTTCTAGTTCAGTTCTAGTTCAGTTCTAGTTCAGTTCTAGTTCAGTTCTAGTTCAGTTCTAGTTCAGTTCTAGTTCAGTTCTAGTCAGTTCTAGTTCAGTTCTAGTTCAGTTCTAGTTCAGTTCTAGTTCAGTTCTAGTTCAGTTCTAGTTCAGTTCTAGTTCAGTTTTAGTTTAGTTCTAGTTCAGTTCTAGTTCAGTTCTAGTTCAGTTTTAGTTCAGTTCTAGTTCAGTTCTAGTTCAGTTCTAGTTCAGTTCTAGTTCAGTTCTAGTTCAGTTCTAGTTCAGTTCTAGTTCAGTTCTAGTTCAGTTCTAGTTCAGTTCTAGTTCAGTTCTAGTTCAGTTCTAGTTCAGTTCTAGTTCAGTTCTAGTTCAGTTCAGTTCTACTTCAGTTCTAGTTCAGTTTTAGTTAAGTTCTAGTTCAGTTCTAGTTCCGTTCTAGTTCAGTTCTAATTCATTTCTAGTTCAGTTTTAGTTCAATTCTAGTTCAGTTCTAGTTCAGTTCTAGTTCAGTTCTAGTTCAGTTCTAGTTCAGTTCTAGTTCAGTTCTAGTTCAGTTCTAGTTCAGTTCTAGTTCAGTTCTAGTTCAGTTCTAGTTCAGTTCTAGTTCAGTTCTAGTTCAGTTCTAGTTCAGTTCTAGTTCAGTTCTAGTTCAGTTCTAGTTCAGTTCTAGTTCAGTTCAATTCTAGTTCAGTTCTAGTTCAGTTCAATTCTAGTTCAGTTCAATTCTAGTTCAGTTCTAGTTCAGTTCAATTCTAGTTCAGTTCTAGTTCAATTCTAGTTCAGTTCTAGTTCAGTTCTAGTTCAGTTCTAGTTCAGTTCTAGTTCAGTTCTAGTTCAGTTCTAGTTCAGTTCTAGTTCAGTTCTAGTTCAATTCTAGTTCAGTTCTAGTTCAGTTCTAGTTCAGTTCTAGTTCAGTTTTAGTTCAGTTCTAGTTCAGATCTAGTTCAGTTCTAGTTCAGTTCTAGTTCAGTTCTAGTTCAGTTCTAGTTCAGTTCTAGTTCAGTTCTAGTTCAGTTCTAGTTCAGTTCTAGTTCAGTTCTAGTTCAGTTCTAGTTCAGTTCTAGTTCAGTTCTAGTTCAGTTCTAGTTCAGTTCTAGTTCAGTTCTAGTTCAGTTCTAGTTCAGTTCTAGTTCAGTTCTAGTTCAGTTCTAGTTCAGTTCTAGTTCAGTTCTAGTTCAGTTCTAGTTCAGTTCTAGTTCAGTTCTAGTTCAGTTCTAGTTCAGTTCTAGTTCAGTTCTAGTTCAGTTCTAGTTCAGTTCTAGTTCAGTTCTAGTTCAGTTCTAGTTCAGTTCTAGTTCAGTTCTAGTTCAGTTCTAGTTCAGTTCTAGTTCAGTTCTAGTTCAGTTCTAGTTCAGTTCTAGTTCAGTTCTAGTTCAGTTCTAGTTCAGTTCTAGTTCAGTTCTAGTTCAGTTCTAGTCAGTTCTAGTCAGTTCTAGTTCAGTTCTAGTTCAGTTCTAGTTCAGTTCTAGTTCAGTTCTAGTTCAGTTCTAGTTCAGTTCTAGTTCAGTTCTAGTTCAGTTCTAGTTCAGTTCTAGTTCAGTTCTAGTTCAGTTCTAGTTCAGTTAGTTCAGTTCTAGTTCAGTTCTAGTTCAGTTCTAGTTCAGTTCTAGTTCAGTTCTAGTTCAGTTCTAGTTCAGTTCTAGTTCAGTTCTAGTTCAGTTCTAGTTCAGTTCTAGTTCAGTTCTAGTTCAGTTCTAGTTCAGTTCTAGTTCAGTTCTAGTTCAGTTCTAGTTCAGTTCTAGTTTAGTTCTAGTTCAGTTCTAGTTTAGTTCTAGTTCAGTTCTAGTTCAGTTCTAGTGCAGTTCTAGTTCAGTTCTAGTTCAGTTCTAGTTCAGTTCTAACTCAGTTCTAATCCATTTCTAGTTTAGTTGAAATATAAAAGTCCATCTTATGCACTTCTTGAAATTTAAAAAATGTAGATTTAAAAAATTTATAATTTAATATTATTTCTCTCACACTTACAGTTCCATGTCTTGAGTGCCGAGGCCTTGATGTCCCACTATCCCCTAAATCCCATAACAAATAGTTTTACACATCGTAACAAATCTAGATTTCATGGCATTTTACAGCTGATAGGCGGCTCTATGGCTTTATTAGGAGGTTTGGGTAAAATGCAAAGTACTGAAGTACATTTTACCACTTGGCATGGTAGATTTGGTAAGTACCTATACCCCCACACAATTAAACGATGTAATTAACCTTCTAATTAATATTTCTATTTACAGGTCTATTTGCCACCTTCATGTGTTTTTGCCAGCATGTTGGGCGGCATACTCAACTACTTCCAGCCCAAGTTTGTGCACAAAATTTACTCACCCTCGGAAATCAAATTTCGCCATAATTTATTTGGCTTGCTTACCTTTAGTTTGGGCATGACTACAATTACTTTGGGCTATTTTACTAAATTCTTTACTAAATATGTTGACGCTGATGTAATACCAGCATTTGCTTTAGCAACCATTTTGGTTTATTTGTTGACGATGATTGCACCAGTACGTTCATTGTTGGATAAATTGAAGTATCGCAAGAAGAAGTAAGAGCGATTGTGATGAAATGGAATGATGGATATGTATATTAGATTAAGAAAATGAGAAAATAAATTGAAGGAAACTGATAAAGGAAAAGAATAAAGTGTGGTTTTATTGGGATGACACAATTTTTTATTTTAATGCAATTTTTATACTATTGAAAAGGTATTTCGAGCCGATTTTTCACTTCTAAGAAATTTATATTTAACATAGGGATCTTTTTCATTAAAAATCTTAATAAATTTCATTTTACGTTAGTATAAAGTAGAATTATTTCAGTTAATAAATCTAGTATAAGTTTAAGTGCCATTGTGGTACTATATATCAGACATTGTGGCTTAAAATAAATTAATTAAATATAAAAAATAGTTATTAATAAATAATGATATTCAGAAATAAATTTCCAACTCAGTACAAATATTTATTAATATACTTGTGTCTAAATTTTACAAGCACAAGCTGCAAGACCATTCAGCAGTGCAAGTACTGGTAACAATTTTCACCAAAAAAGTACAAATCGTTATGGATCCAGTAACAGGCCATCGACGGTGAGTATGTGTGATCGTGTAGAACGACCGAATTAGAACTAAACCAGAACGGAACATATAACTGAATTAGATCTGAACTAGAACTGAACTAGAACTGAACTAGAACTGAACTAGAACTGAACTAGAACTGAACTAGAACTGAACTAGAACTGAACTAGAACTGAACTAGAACTGAACTAGAACTGAACTAGAACTGAACTAGAACTGAACTAGAACTGAACTAGAACTGAACTAGAACTGAACTAGAACTGAACTAGAACTGAACTAAAACTGAACTAGAACTGAACTAGAACTGAACTAGAACTGAACTAGAACTGAACTAGAACTGAACTAGAACTGAACTAGAACTGAACTAGAACTGAACTAGAACTGAACTAGAACTGAACTAGAACTAGAACTGAACTAGAACTGAACTAGAACTGAACTAGAAATGAACTAGAACTGAACTAGAACTGAACTAGAACTGAACTAGAACTGAACTAGAACTGAACTAGAACTGAACTAGAACTGAACTAGAACTGAACTAGAAATGAACTAGAACTAGAACTAGTACTGAACTAGAACTGAACTAGAACTGAACTAGAATTGAACTAGAACTGAACTAGAACTGAACTAGAACTGAACTAGAACTGAACTAGAACTGAACTGGAACTGGAACTGAACTAGAACTGAACTAGAACTGAACTAGAACTGAACTAGAACTGAACTAGAACTGAACTAGAACTGAACTAGAACTTAACTAGAACTGAACTAGAACTGAACTAGAACTGAACTAGAACTGAACTAGAACTGAACTGGAACTGAACTAGATCTGAACTAGAACTGAACTAGAATTGAACTAGAACTGAACTAGAACAAAACTAGAACTGAACTAGAATTGAACTAGAACTGAACTAGAACAAAACAAACTGAACTAGAACTAGAACTGAACTAGAACTAGAACAGAACTAGAACAGAACTAGAACAGAACTAGAACAGAACTAAACAGAACTAGAACTGAACTAGAACTGAACTAGAACTGAACTAGAACTGAACTAGAACTGAACTAGAACTGAACTAGAACTGAACTAGAACTGAACTAGAACTGAACTAGAACTGAACTAGAACTGAACTAGAACTGAACTAGAACTGAACTAGAACTGAACTAGAACTGAACTAGAACTGAACTAGAACTGAACTAGAACTGAACTAGAACTGAACTAGAACTGAACTAGAACTGAACTAGAACTGAACTAGAACTGAACTAGAACTGAACTAGAACTGAACTAGAACTGAACTAGAACTGAACTAGAACTGAACTAGAACTGAACTAGAACTGAACTAGAACTGAACTAGAACTGAACTAGAACTGAACTAGAACTGAACTAGAACTGAACTAGAACTGAACTAGAACTGAACTAGAACTGAACTAGAACTGAACTAGAACTGAACTAGAACTGAACTAGAACAGAACTAGTACTGAACTAGAACTGAACTAGAACTGAACTAGAATTGAAACAGAACTGAAACAGAACTGATCTAGAACTGAACTAGAACTGAACTAGAACTGAACTAGAACTGAACTAGAACTGAACTAGAACTGAACTAGAACTGAACTAGAACTGAACTAGAACTGAACTAGAACTGAACTAGAACTGAACTAGAACTGAACTAGAACTGAACTAGAACTGAACTAGAACTGAACTAGAACTGAACTAGAACTGAACTAGAACTGAACTAGAACTGAACTAGAACTGAACTAGAACTGAACTAGAACTGAACTAGAACTGAACTAGAACTGAACTAGAACTGAACTAGAACTGAACTAGAACTGAACTAGAACTGAACTAGAACTGAACTAGAACTGAACTAGAACAGAACTAGTACTGAACTAGAACTGAACTAGAATTGAAACAGAACTGATCTAGAACTGAACTAGAACTGAACTAGAACTGAACTAGAACTGAACTAGAACTGAACTGAACTAGAACTGAACTAGAACTGAACTAGAACTGAACTTGAACTGAACTAGAACTGAACTAGAACTGAACTAGAACTGAACTAGAACTGAACTAGAACTGAACTGAACTGAACTAGAACTGAACTAGAACTGAACTAGGACTGAACTAGAACTGAAACAGAACTGAAACAGAACTGAACCAGAACTGTAGTAGAATTTATCTATAACATGACTAGAACTGAACCGCAATTGAAACAAGAACTGAACTAGAATTGGACTAGAACAGAACTTCGCATGCAAAAACTACATAAATGTTGTTACAAAGAATTGGACAAATTTTATAAAAACTTCTAAATTAATATATCGTTCAGAATATTGGATTTGATGTTCCGAAACAGAGTGGTGTTGTATTTAACGATAACTTTACTTAGTATAGCAGATGGTAAAACCGCTTTTCATTTAGGATTGGTAAGAATTAAAAAAACTTATTTTCTATATTAATTAATTATTACGCATATTTTTTAGAATAAACCACAATATGCTCTCCCCTCAACATCACTTAACAAATATGCTGCATATAAAGACGCTTCCAATAAACCCATTATTAGTATTGCCGAGAGTAAATCAGCTTTACGCTCTGGATCGCTGTTGACTACACCCACCAAACAACCAGCCTATAATCCATTTTATAATGCAAGAAAAGTGGGAAAAGTTATTATTTTTAAACGTTTATAAATAAATTTCATATTTTTTATAGAAAAGACAAATCACCTCGAATATTAGTGGTACACTAATTGAGCAATCTGCTTATGAAACTGGAGCTGTAAGTTACTATATTTAATAAGCTTTGGACTTCTCATAACCTAATACTCTTTTTTAAAGAAGTACAGTAATCTCTTAATATTAATGTATTTATAGAAATCTCAAACATCGTCCGTTATAGATATGGTTTCACAAACCAAACAACCAGCTTATAATCCATATTATAACCATGAATCGGTATATACTTATGACCATTTATTTAAGAAGTTTTGTTTACATTTTTCTGATTTAAATTTCATAGAATTTTGGAACTAAGATCGGTTCAAATATACAACCGCATAAAGCTGGCTATAATCCAATTATCAACCGAACTTCGATTTTGCCAAACTATGGCTTCAATCCTAAATCGTCAAATAATATTGGACATTCAGCTGATGACAAAAACCAAACGGTAAGAGTAGTTCTTGTTCAGTTCTAGTTCAGTTCTAGTTCAGTTCTAGTTCAGTTCTAGTTCAGTTCTAGTTCAGTTCTAGTTCAGTTCTAGTTCAGTTCTAGTTCAGTTCTAGTTCAGTTCTAGTTCAGTTCTAGTTCAGTTCTAGTTCAGTTCTAGTTCAGTTCTAGTTCAGTTCTAGTTCAGTTCTAGTTCAGTTCTAGTTCAGTTCTAGTTCAGTTCTAGTTCAGTTCTAGTTCAGTTCTAGTTCAGTTCTGGTTCAGTTCTAGTTCCGTTCTGGTTCAATTCTAGTTCAGTTCTAGTTCAGTTCTAGTTCAGTTCTAGTACAGTTCTAGTTCAGTTCTAGTTCATTTCTAGTTCAGTTCTAGTTCAATTCTAGTTCAGTTCTAGTTCAGTTCTAGTTCAGTTCTAGTTCAGTTCTAGACAATTCTAGTTCAGTTCTAGTTCAGTTCTAGTTCAGTTCTAGTTCAGTTCTAGTTCAGTTCTAGTTCAGTTCTAGTTCAGTTCTAGTTCAGTTCTAGTTCAGTTCTAGTTCAGTTCTAGTTCAGTTCTAGTTCAGTTCTAGTTCAGTCTAGTTCAGTTCTAGTTCAGTTCTAGTTCAGTTCTAGTTCAGTTCTAGTTCAGTTCTAGTTCAGTTCTAGTTCAGTTCTAGTTCAGTTCTAGTTCAGTTCTAGTTCAGTTCTAGTTCAGTTCTAGTTCAGTTCTAGTTCAGTTCTAGTTCAGTTCTAGTTCAGTTCTAGTTCAGTTCTAGTTCAGTTCTAGTTCAGTTCTAGTTCAGTTCTAGTTCAGTTCTAGTTCAGTTCTAGTTCAGTTCTAGTTCAGTTCTAGTTCAGTTCTAGTTCAGTTCTAGTTCAGTTCTAGTTCAGTTCTAGTTCAGTTCTAGTTCAGTTCTAGTTCAGTTCTAGTTCAGTTCTAGTTCAGTTCTAGTTCAGTTCTAGTTCAGTTCTAGTTCAGTTCTAGTTCAGTTCTAGTTCAGTTCTAGTTCAGTTCTAGTTCAGTTCTAGTTCAGTTCTAGTTCAGTTCTAGTTCAGTTCTAGTTCAGTTCTAGTTCTAGTTCAGTTCTAGTTCAGTTCTAGTTCAGTTCTAGTTCAGTTCTAGTTCAGTTCTAGTTCAGTTCTAGTTCAGTTCTAGTTCAGTTCTAGTTCAGTTCTAGTTCAGTTCTAGTTCAGTTCTAGTTCAGTTCTAGTTCAGTTCTAGTTCAGTTCTAGTTCAGTTCTAGTTCAGTTCTAGTTCAGTTCTAGTTCAGTTCTAGTTCAGTTCTAGTTCAGTTCTAGTTCAGTTCTAGTTCAGTTCTAGTTCAGTTCTAGTTCAGTTCTAGTTCAGTTCTAGTTCAGTTCTAGTTCAGTTCTAGTTCAGTTCTAGTTCAGTTCTAGTTCAGTTCTAGTTCAGTTCTAGTTTCAGTTCTAGTTCAGTTCTAGTTCAGTTCTAGTTCAGTTCTAGTTCAGTTCTAGTTCAGTTCTAGTTCAGTTCTAGTTCAGTTCTAGTTCAGTTCTAGTTCAGTTCTAGTTCAGTTCTAGTTCAGTTCTAGTTCAGTTCTAGTTCAGTTCTAGTTCAGTTCTAGTCAGTTCTAGTTCGTTCTAGTTTAGTTCTAGTTCAGTTCTAGTTCAGTCTAGCAGTTCTAGTTCAGTTTCTAGTTACAGTTCTAGTTCAGTTCTAGTTCAGTTCTAGTTCAGTTCTAGTTCAATTCTAGTTTCAGTTCTAGTTCAGTTCTAGTTCAGTTCTAGTTCAGTTCTAGTTCAGTTCTAGTTCAGTTCTAGTTCAGTTCTAGTTCAGTTCTAGTTCAGTTCTAGTTCATTCTAGTCAGTTCTAGTCAGTTTAGTTCGTTCTAGGTCAGTTCTAGTTCCATTCTAGTTCAGTTCTAGTTCAGTTTAGGTTCAGTTTAGGTTCAGTTTAGTTCAGTTCTAGTTCAGTTCTAGTTCAGTTCTAGTTCAGTTCTAGTTCAGTTCTAGTTTAGTTCTAGTTCAGTTCTAGTTCAGTTCTAGTTCAGTTCTAGTTCAGTTCTATTAATAATTTTATAGAGTTCTCATTATACTAAGATTTTAATTAAATTATTTTGTTTAAAGTTGAATCTCGAACATCATCACAGAGGCGATGATAATGTAAGTATTTTAAGTTATTTAAGCTACAATAAAAATTATTTTAAAAACATTTTAGAATATACAACGTAAGAATAAAAGCTTTAAACAAGCGAAAATTCTACATTACTCAGGAAATAGGGCTTTAAGCCATTCTTCAAAATTGGGTTTGGTAAGCAGTAAAACAAAATTTGTTTATAACAGTTTCATTGATTTATTTTTAAAATTGTTTAACCTTATAATAAAATTGTTGATTTCTATAAAAAGTGGGGTATCAATTGCCTTTGTTTACCTTTCTTAATATTTATGATATCAAAGATTTTACATTTCTTTACAGCTTGGTTACCCGACATCCACTATACATCAACATAATCTTTTTAAAACCCAACAATATATCAATAGGAAACATATAATCGAAAAATCTAGTTATGCTAAAAATCAAATAATAATTATTGTAGCACTACTTATAGTTATAATAGCGATCGTTATCGGTATTATAGTTTATAAAAAAATGAAATAATATATGGACTAAAATATTTATTCAGACTGATTGCATGAACATATACATATTTTAAAAATTAGTATCAAAATCATCAGATATCTTTGCACAATTCTGCTAAAAAAAATACCACAACTTTATTTTTAAATCAAAACCTATTATTCATATTTAATCAATACTAAATAAAAAGTCATAAAATCTATACAGCCGAGTAAACTGATATCATATTCTTATTGTAAAAGGAACCTCAAACAATTATTGTCAACTCTTAAAATGGCATATTATCAATATTTTCTAAAATTATATGCATTTATAATGTTTTAATGTATATTTGAGAATATGGTAAGATTTTTAAGAAAGTAAATATATTTAGTTTATGTTTTAAATTAAATCTTATTTATAATTTCAGTTTAATACGGCTGTCAATCCTTTTGAAATTGCCCAGTGGAATAAAAATCAAGATAAACCGGGCATATGCCATTTGGACTTGAAATTTTGATAAATTTGAATACAGAAATAATTGAAATAAAATTTAAGGCAAAAATTGGCAATTTCTTCTAAAGACTTTTTATAACCTAAGCTATAGTGAAGTCTATAGCCTGTTCTAAAGTGAAGTCCATAGCCTAATCTATAGTCTAGTCCATAGGTCCATTTTATAGTCAAGTCTAGTATATAGTCTAGTCTATAGTCTAGTCTATAGTCTAGTCTATAGTCTAGTCTATAGTCTAGTCTATAGTCTAGTCTATAGTCTAGTCTATAGTCTAGTCTATAGTCTAGTCTATAGTCTAGTCTATAGTCTAGTCTATAGTCTAGTCTATAGTCCAGTCTAGTAGTCTAGTCTAGTATAGTCTAGTCTATAGTCTAGTCTATAGTCTAGTCTATAGTCTAGTCTATTAGTCTAGTCTATAGTCTAGTCTATAGCTAGTCTATAGTCTAGTCTATAGTCTAGTCTATAGTCTAGTCTATAGTCTAGTCTAAGTCTAGTCTATAGTCTAGTCTATAGTCTAGTCTATAGTCTAGTCTATAGTCTAGTCTATAGTCTAGTCTATAGTCTAGTCTATAGTCTAGTCTATAGTCTAGTCTATAGTCTAGTCTATAGTCTAGTCTATAGTCTAGTCTATAGTCTAGTCTATAGTCTAGTCTATAGTCTAGTCCTATAGTCTAGTCTATAGTCTAGTCTATAGTCTAGTCTATAGTCTAGTCTATAGTCTAGTCTATAGTCTAGTCTATAGTCTAGTCTATAGTCTAGTCTATAGTCTAGTCTATAGTCTCTTAGTCTATAGTCTAGTCTATAGTCTAGTCTATAGTCTAGTCTATAGTCTAGTCTATAGTCTAGTCTATAGTCTAGTCTATAGTCTAGTCTATAGTCTAGTCTATAGTCTAGTCTATAGTCTAGTCTATAGTCTAGTCTATAGTCTAGTCTATAGTCTAGTCTATTCTAGTCTATAGTCTAGTCTATAGTCTAGTCTATAGTCTAGTCTATAGTCTAGTCTATAGTCTAGTCTATAGTCTAGTCTATAGTCTAGTCTATAGTCTAGTCTATAGTCTAGTCTATAGTCTAGTCTATAGTTTAGTCTATAGTCTAGTCTATAGTGTAGTCTATAGTCTAGTCTATAGTCTAGTCTATAGTGTAGTCTATAGTCTAGTCTATAGGCTAGTCTATAGTCTAGTATATATTCAAGTATATAGTCTAGTATATAGTCTAGTATATAGTCTTGTATGTAGTCTAGTCCTTTGCACTTAGCCAGATCCAAAGTTTAGAATTACTCAGTTACCAAAAAGTAAAGAATATTTGAAAACATAAAATTTACTTTATTTCCAATATTTGATCATAATCTGAAAAACTATTAAATCACTTATTAAACTAACTAACCCCCATTTTCACCATGTCTAGTTATTTTTTAACTTTAAAATATATTAACAGTTCTCATACAAAAATTTTCTAAACTGGAAGAATAACTACCGGTTGAACGATAACTGGAGGTGGTAAAATGGGGGGTAAGCCAACAATTGTTGTCTTTTTCACTCTAGACTACAGTAACTGATTCCTTTTCCTTAGTGGAATGACTTCCATGACCCCCGTTACCGTAATATCCTCCTTTATGGCCACCATTACTGACAGAAGGAGACTATGGAAGAAAAGTTTAAAAACTGATCAAATATTAAACACAACTTCAAAACTTACAGTTTTTCCCGGTTTTCCCGGTTTTACAGAATTTTTTCCTTTTTTTTTATACTAATAGTTTTGAAATTGTTCCATGCTTTTATACTAATGCTGAAAATACTGAGTTTATTAAAAATGCAGAAATAGTTAATGACTAATTGTGGTCACTGGATTATTTCTGCATTATATATAGACAAGTCTATAGTGTAGTCTATAGTGTAGTCTATAGTGTAGTCTATAGTGTAGTCTATAGTGTAGTCTATGGTGTAGTCTATAGTGTAGTCTATAGTGTAGTCTATAGTGTACTCTATAGTCTAGTCTATAGTTTAGTTTATAGTCTAGTCTATAGTCTAGTCTATAGTCTAGTCTATAGTCTAGTCTATAGTCTAGTCTATAGTCTAGTCTATAGTCTAGTCTATAGTCTAGTCTATAGTCTAGTCTATAGTCTAGTCTATAGTCTAGTCTATAGTCTAGTCTATAGTCTAGTCTATAGTCTAGTCTAGTCTACAGTCTAGTCAATAGTCTAGTCTAGTCTATAGTCTAGTCTAGTCTATAGTCTAGTCTATAGTCTAGTCTATAGTCTAGTCTATAGTCTAGTCTATAGTCTAGTCTATAGTCTAGTCTATAGTCTAGTCTAGTCTACAGTCTAGTCAATAGTCTAGTCTATAGTTTAGTTTATAGCCTAGTTTATAGTCTAGTCTATAGTCTAGTCTATAGTCTAGTCTATAGTCTAGTCTAAAGTCTAGTCTATAGTCTAGTCTATAGTCTAGTCTATAGTCTAGTCTATAGTCTAGTCTATAGTCTAGTCTAGTCTATAGTCTAGTCTATAGTCTAGTCCATAGTCTAGTCTATAGTCTAGTCTACAGTCTTGTCTATAGTCTAGTCTATAGTCTAGTCTATAGTCTAGTTTATAGTCTAGTATATAGTCTAGTCTATAGTCTAGTCTATAGTCTAGTCTATAGTCTAGTCTATAGTCTAGAGTCTAGTCTATAGTCTAGAGTCTAGTCTATAGTCTAGTCTATAGTCTAGTCTATAGTCTAGTCTATAGTCTAGTCTATAGTCTAGTCTATAGTCTAGTCTATAGTCTAGTCTATAGTCTAATCTATAGTCTAGTCTATAGTCTAGTCTATAGTCTAGTCTATAGTCTAGTCTATAGTCTAGTCTATAGTATAGTCTATAGTCTAGTCTATAGTCTAGTCTATAGTCTAGTCTAAAGTCTAGTCTACAGTCTAGTATATAGTCTAGTCCATAGTCATGTATATAGTCTAGTCTATAGTTTATAGCCGAGTCTATAGTCTAGTCTATAGCCGAGTCTATAGTCTAGTCTATAGCCTGGTCTATAGTCGAGTCTATAGCCTAGTCTATAGTCGAGTCTATAGTCTAGTATTTAGTCTATTCTATAATCTAGTCTATAGTCGACATTCTAGTTTAAAGTATAGTCTTTAGTCTAGTCAAGTCTATATTCCAGTCGATAGTCTAGTCTATATTCTAGTCTTTAGTCGGGTATATAGTCTAGTCTGTAGTTTAGTCTATAGTCTAATATAGTATATTAGCCGAGTCTGTAGTCTAGTCTATAGTTTAGTCTATAATCTAGTCTATATTTTTGTCTATAGTCCAGTCTAAAGTTTAATTTGTAGTGTACTGTATTGTGTAGTCTGTAGTTTATAGTCTAGTCTATAGTCTAGTCTATAGTCTAGTCTATAGTCTAGTCTATAGCTAGTCTATAGTCTAGTCTATAGTCTAGTCTATAGTCTAGTCTATAGTCTAGTCTATAGTCTAGTCTATAGTCTAGTCTATAGTCTAGTCTATGGTCTAGTCTACAGTCTAGTCTATTGTCTAGTCTATAGTTTAGTTTATAGCCTAGTTTATAGTCTAGTCTATAGTCTAGTCTATAGTCTAGTCTATAGTCTAGTCTATAGTCTAGTCTAAAGTCTAGTCTATAGTCTAGTCTATAGTCTAGTCTATAGTCTAGTCTATAGTCTAGTCTATAGTCTAGCCTATAGTCTAGTCTATAGTCTATTCTATAGTCTAGTCTATAGTCTAGTCTATAGTCTAGTCTATAGTCTAGTCTATAGTCTAGCCTATAGTCTAGTCTATAGTCTAGCCTATAGTCTAGTCTATAGTCTAGTCTATAGTCTAGTCTATAGTCTAGTCTATAGTCTAGTCTACAGTCTTGTCTATAGTCTAGTCTATAGTCTAGTCTATAGTCTAGTTTATAGTCTAGTCTATAGTCTAGTCTATAGTCTAGAGTCTAGTCTATAGTCTAGTCTATAGTCTAGTCTATAGTCTAGTCTATAGTCTAGTCTATAGTCTAGTCTATAGTCTAGTCTATAGTATAGTCTATAGTCTAGTCTATAGTCTAGTCTGTAGTCTAGTATATAGTCCAGTCTATGGTCTAGTCTAAAGTCTAGTCTACAGTCTAGTATATAGTCTAGTCCATAGTCATGTATATAGTCTAGTCTATAGTTTATAGCCGAGTCTATAGTCTAGTCTATAGCCGAGTCTATAGTCTAGTCTATAGCCTGGTCTATAGTCGAGTCTATAGCCTAGTCTATAGTCGAGTCTATAGTCTAGTATTTAGTCTATTCTATAATCTAGTCTATAGTCGACATTCTAGTTTAAAGTATAGTCTTTAGTCTAGTCAAGTCTATATTCCAGTCGATAGTCTAGTCTATATTTTAGTCTTTAGTCGGGTCTATAGTCTAGTCTATAGTTTAGTCTATAGTTTAGTCTATAGTTTAGTCTATAGTCTAATATAGTATATTAGTCGAGTCTGTAGTCTAGTGTATAGTTTAGTCTATAATCTAGTCTATATTTTAGTCTATAGTCCAGTCTAAAGTTTAATTTGTAGTGTACTCTATTGTGTAGTCTGTAGTCTAGTCGAGTCTATAGTTTAATCTCGAAATTTGTTTAACAGGGGTGATAAATTAAAAAAATTATATAGATTGATTGTATTTTTATAAAATGTAAAAGAATGAGTCACATAATAATTATAAAAAAAAAACTCTCGAAGTTAGTATTGAATTAAGCAAATAGTAGTATTCAAACATTTTTAAAATATTTACACTTTTCTTAACAAAAAATTATAAAGCTTTCGAATTTGTTTCAAATTTTTTCGCGAATGGTTCGCGAGGGAAAACAACACTCAGTTGTCTGCGACAAAATCGTGATGTAAATAAGGAAACGTTCATAACATGTTGTTGTAACCCTTTAAAAACTAAAACGCAATAAATATTTTTAATTACACAATATTTATTTAAGAACAATATTTATAATTCATAAAGAAAATTTTCCAATATGTTAAACCACAATTTATATTCAAAATGTTTATAAATGTCTATCAGATATTGTCTATATGGTCTATATGTATATTGTTCCGTAGTATAAAAACGGCTTACAAATTTAATTATAATTTATAATTATTAAAACTTTCACAATGAATCTTTTAAATCTATTAGTATTTGCCATCGTTACACACTGCTTTACACACTGAAGCTAAAGGTGGCAAGAAAACAGCTGCTGGTGTAAGAGAATTTTTTATTTTAAAATTTCTAAATGTTAATCATCTTGCATTTCTCTAAAATAGGTCGAAGTTGCCAAACATGTAGGAGCCGCTACTGGCCGGGAAGCTGTAAGACAAGTAGCAGGCAAATTTTAAATTGTTTTAAATAATAATAAAGAATGCCTATACATATGTATTATGTACGTGTGTTGACTTTAACAAAAGTTATTTGTTTTTTTGACATAGTGTAGTGTATAAAATAATATATAGTCTAATCTATAGTCTAGTGTACAGTCTGGTCTAGTCTATAGTTTAGTCTAGTCTATAGTCTAGTCTATAGTCTAGTCTATAGTCTAGTCTCTAGTCTAGTCTAGTCTAGTCTATAGTCTAGTCTATAGTCTAGTCTATAGTCTAGTCTATAGTCTAGTCTATAGTCTAGTCTATAGTCTAGTCTATAGTCTAGCTTATAGTCTAGCTTATAGTTTAGTCTATAGTCTAGTCTATAGTCTAGTCTATAGTCTAGTCTATAGTCTAGTCTATAGTCTAGTCTATAGTCTAGTCTATAGTCTAGTCTATAGTCTAGTGTATAGTCTAGTGTATAGTCTAGTCTATAGTCTAGTCTATAGTCTAGTCTATAGTCTAGTCTATAGTCAGTCTATAGTCTAGTCTATAGTCTAGTCTATAGTCTAGTCTATAGTCTAGTCTATAGTCTAGTCTAGTCTAGTCTATAGTCTAGTCTATAGTCTAGTCTATAGTCTAGTCTATAGTCTAGTCTATAGTCTAGTCTATAGTCTAGTCTATAGTCTAGTCTATAGTCTAGTCTATAGTCTAGTCTATAGTCTAGTCTATAGTCTAGTCTATAGTCTAGTCTATAGTCTAGTCTATAGTCTAGTCTATAGTCTAGTCTATAGTCTAGTCTATAGTCTAGTCTATAGTCTAGTCTATAGTCTAGTCTATAGTCTAGTCTATAGTCTAGTCTATAGTCTAGTCTATAGTCTAGTCTATAGTCTAGTCTATAGTCTAGTCTATAGTCTAGTCTATAGTCTAGTCTATAGTCTAGTCTAGTCTAGTCTATAGTCTAGTCTATAGTCTAGTCTATAGTCTAGTCTATAGTCTAGTCTATAGTCTAGTCTATAGTCTAGTCTATAGTCTAGTCTATAGTCTAGTCTATAGTCTAGTCTATAGTCTAGTCTATAGTCTAGTCTATAGTCTAGTCTATAGTCTAGTCTATAGTCTAGTCTATAGTCTATAGTCTAGTCTAGTCTAGTCTATAGTCTAGTCTATAGTCTAGTCTATAGTCTAGTCTATAGTCTAGTCTATAGTCTAGTCTATAGTCTAGTCTATAGTCTAGTCTATAGTCTAGTCTATAGTCTCGTCTATAGTCTCGTCTATAGTCTCGTCTATAGTCTCGTCTATAGTCTCGTCTATAGTCTAGTATATAGTCTAATCTACAGTGTACTCTATAATCAAGTCTACAGTCTAGTCTACAGTCTGCTCTATAGTCTAATCTATATTATACTCTATAGTGAAGTCTATATTCTATTCTATAGCCAAGTCTATAGTGTAGTCTATAGCCTAATAGTAAGCGCGTCAATAGTAAGGAGAGTAATTGATGAAATTGTCAACATGAAACAGAAATTGTAAAAAGAACTCTTAATGATAATCTCAAGGTGGAAACCTATTAAGTGATTTGTTAAAATTGGTTTAAAAGAGTAATTTCAAAGGATGTGTCAAAAAAAGTTATTGATCTGGTGAAAAACTGAACTTTTGGTGAAAGTTTTCAAAAAATTATATATAATGACCTATGGAATCTACATTTAAACAAATTTAGGATTTCTAATGCAAAAACTTGTTTTAATTTTTTGAAATCATCATTTCATAATTTTATTGAATGAATTTTGGAATTTTTAAAATTATATAAAATATTTTTGTATTTATCCTTTCTTAGGTTTATAGTCAGTGGTGGCTCCTTTGGTTACGATCTTTTCTTTAATTTCCTTGGTTGGCTATGAAGAAAATTTTAAATTAGTTTTTTTTTTACAAATTTTTTCTGACTTAACTTACTTTTACATCAACATCACTACGGACGGGTTTTGAGAATTGACCTCCTGCCTCAATAGTAACCATAGAAATGGCTAAAATGACCAAAACGATTAAGAAGTTATAAAAGACTTTCATGATGTTAATATTATTGTCGAAAGGATCAATGTAATTTGTTGAAATTACATTTACAGAATCGGTTTATATACATGATGATAATGGACATGGGGTAGGAAATTGTCAAAGGGTGTTTCAAAAAGTGTTTAGAAATTTGAAAAAGTTTCAGTCTGAAAATCACGCGGACAAAGGGCATATCATTGACAAGACTATAGATCAGACGGACTAAAAACAAATTTATAGGCTAGGGTATATACTAAACTATAGCCCAGGCTATAGACCAGATCAGAGTTTAGAACAGACTATTAACAAAATTTTAGATCAGACTATAGACTATACTATTAACTAGATTATTCATTAGACTCTAAATCAGATTATATACTGAACTAGACTAGACTATAGACAATACTATAAACCATACTATGTGTGACTTTATGTCACACTTTAGTCCAAAGAATAGACCGGACTCTAGAGATCAAAACAACGACTTGTTGTTGTACACAAATTTTACTTATATTTTTAAAAGTATTCTACTAATGAAAAATAATACTTCTTTTCGTAAAGGGTTTTACGAAAATTTTGTATTAGAAAGTACGAGAATTATTAAAGGTTTTAGTTCTTTGCGGAAAATTACCACTTTTTTCAACACCCTTCGTGGTTTGATATTGAACAAATGATTCATAAATGGGGAAATTTATATAAGACCGCAGAATTATTAAAAGCTGGTTTTTCTATGTAAACCATTCTAAACCACAACGAAATTGGAAAATATCCAATACATTTTTAATTTAATAAAAATATATCTCATATTATTATTTATAATAATATTTATCAGATTATACACCAGGCTATTTACCAGACCGTGGGTAGTACTATAAAATGGCCTATAGAATAAACTATAGACTAAAGAATAAACTATAGTCAAGACTATAAAATAGACTACTGTCAAAAATGTAGCCTATTTTATATGAAGGACTATAAACTGGACTATAGACTAGACCAGCGGTTCCCACCGTTTTTTACTTCGCGGACCCCTTGAGGAATTTATTTAATTTCACGGACCCCCATACATATTTTGATATCTTATTGTTATAAATAACACTGTGATACAAAAGTGAAGAAAAATAAAATGCAGGCGTTCTCATATACCAATTCTATTTCGTTATAGTCCATAGAGTACGAATATATTTTTAGTTTTCCCCTATCACTTCGTTAACTTACTTTTTAAGAGCAAAAGATGCGAAAAAGAGCCATTTTTGAAGTTTTAAATTTGAAAAATCATAAGTTTAGTAGTTTTCATCCGATTTTCAAATCCGATATTTTTTTTAATGATACAAGTGTCTTTTAATCCAAAAAAAGAAATCCAAAATTTATGGTCAAATGTCTGGTTACGGTCGTTTAAGTAAAAAAACTCACACTTTTTTAAAAAAATTTCATTTTCATCATACTCTACTTTGACCTTGAGGCAGTGAGTTCATCTTTTATTACTTTCCTGAAGAATCACATAAAGGAAGGTTTCTAAAACTTGTTATTTCATAAAAATCTATGAAAAACTGGATGATTTATGTCAATTTTTCTAATAGCATGTTCCTCGAATTTTTGGTTTTCTCCATACAAATTAATTTTTGTATAAAAATGTTTATAAACATTTTTGAAACTTGTTACAAAGAAAACCAGAAACATGAACGTTTTTGTATGGAAGAAATATGCTATATTTTTATAAAACTTAGCACAACTCATAACCTTTTTCATCGATTATCATAAATTGACCATCATTGGAAACCCAACTTAATGTGCCTTTTTTCAAATGTAATAAAAGCTAAAGTTACTGCTTCATGGCCAACGTAGAGCAGTATGAAAATTAAAAATTGTGAAAAAAATGTGAGTTTTTTTACTTAAATGACCGTAACCAAGACATTAATCATAAATTTTGGATTTATTTTTTTGGGTTGAAAGACAACACTTGTATCTTTAAAACAAAATATCCAATTTGAAAATCGGTTGCAAACTACCATAAATATATTTTTTTAAAGTTAAAACTTCAAAAATAGCTCTTTTTCACATCTTTTGCTCTTAAAAAGGAACTAAACGAAGTGATCGGGAAAAATTAAAAATATATTCCTACTCTATGGACTATAACGAAATGGAATTGGTATATGAGAACCCCCGCATTTTTTTGCTGTATCACTGTGTAATTGTTCGTCCGAAAATTGTCTTAGTCCTGGTCCATAAACCCTATAAAATATTCCGGTACATTGAGATCGGAGATGTTTTCAATTGCATGGTTTTAAATATAGAATGACTTCTAACATGATGTTTAATTTTATGATCGTGAGAGCTTTCATGTTCATTTCTCGTCAAGGTATAGAAAAGGTTTCTTTATCAAGTATTGTCGACATGTGCTTAAAGAGTCATGTTTCTAAATTTTTTTGCGATTGCATAGGAGTGAGCTGAGTATGTAAGCTAAGTTTTCGAGAAAATATGTGAAAGTTAGACTTCTTCGATGTTGTTGCGGAATGCGTTACCCACATAAAATATTACCTGAACTCTTTGCGAATGTACTGTGAATTTGGATCTTAATTTTGAATTTTAAAATACCTACGAATTATTTTACTGCGTGGTTTTGACTATTTACGCAAAACGCTATGAATTTTCTGATGTTGATTTAATAATATTGGACAACAAAATGAAGTTAAAATCTGTGTATCACGTCGGAATGGAATATTTATATTTAAAATTAACTAGATTAACACTTTTGCTTACAATTTAAAAAAATATTATGAAATGTGACCTAACCTGGGATATCAGTATCAGTATTTAATTCTAAGGCAAATCATTATCCGTCTGCTATAAAAACATTTATTTCGATACATATACATACATTTATAAAAATTACAAATCACGTAATACTTTACTTTATAAAAGTGAAACAATAAATTTGTAAGGCCTAGCTTCATCCTGATAAACGACCGAAACAATAAAATTCAAAGAGTCACAAACAAATCTGGGATTATTGAATAAAAATTGTGTATTTTAGTATTTATGACAAATTTGGAGATATTTTTAA